CCACTATGAAAGCTGCCTAATTTAAGAATATTAAATCGTGTGTTTTAGTATAGTAATGCTGTACTTACAGAAGTAGAAATGTATCTAAAGATGTAAGCTTATTTATATCTGAGACGTAAAAATACCGGGATATGTACAGTTAACATGCCAGTGCATCCCAGCGGAGGCCTGCTCTTGTTCTCCCCCGTTCCCTGCCCTTCGTCCACCTGCTCTGTGCTTCCCCTTCTTCCCATCTCAGAGCTCAACTCACATGGACCAGACGTGGAAATCACTGAAAAGTGCCCGTTAACTTACAAACACATTGGTAAAGCCATATTTCTGAGAAGTTTCTGTCGCTTCATTATTGATTTTTTCTTTTCAACATTGAGAAGTATTCAAAGCACAAATTCAATAAAGAGTTGAATAAATGACAGAGTAACTAAATACATTTATTCTACACATTCTTGTGAGGACAGGAGTGGAAAACCCTGAATTCTTTATTCTGTGTCTCATTTATTTTCATCATGTGTGGTGGAAATTTCCCATTGCTTTAACACATGTAAATAACACTTATGTAACTATGGCAGCGTATTTTAGAAAGTTCTCTTACAGTTAATCTATAGATTTTTTTGGTGTTTTCTTACCAGTCACATGTGCCATACATAGAATTTCAAATTGACCTTGAGAAGATTTTTTTTTGTTTGGTTCTCATTTTCAGTAAGCTTAGGCAGAGTTGCTGCCATTTTCTCCTTCACGTTGGTTCTCAAATCCAGACTGAGATTGCTGTGTGGCCGGGGCAGCCATGGTCTTCTGCTCCCATTCTGCTCTCCATTTGAACCTCTGGCCAAATCCAGCCCAGTTATCCTGTAACATTTTTCTCTTCTTTAAATTCCAAATTGGTTCCCTGCAGGTTAGCATTTGTTCTCTGTCCCTTGGGTCTGGGGTAGTCGGCTCGCCCTCTTGGCTGAAGCCGGAGCTCTCTGCTGACAGGGTTGCTCATGTGGCTTCCACCTGCTGCAGCCCTGGCCACACTGGAGGACAGAGGCTTGAGCTCAGCTCAGTGGCACTGTTCTGCCACCCCATGTGGACTCACATGGCTCGCTCATCCTCTGCCACTGCTGGTGAAGGCTGCCTTTTTGTTTTGAAGATTTATGTTTAAAAATTGGAAACCAGCACTGTGGCCCAGCAGGTTAAGTTTGGGTCCCAGTTGCTCCCCTTCTGATCCTGCTAATGTGTCTGGGAAAGTAGTGAAAGATGGCCCGAGTATAAGGGCCCCTGCAATCACAAGGAAGACCCGGAAGAAGCTCCTGTGTCCTGACTTTGACCCGACCCATCCCTGTCCACTGTGGCTATTTGGGGAGTGACCCAGATAGAAAATTTCTCTCCCTCCCTCTCATTTTCTCACTGTGTGTCTGTGTGCCCATCCTTCTCTCTATCTAACTCTGACTTTCAAATAAATAACTTTTTAAGTCAATTAAATATTATAAAGAAAAACATGTTTTGCTATTACTGAAGTATTTTTCAGAGTGATCATTATTTTTATGCAGGCTGTCCAGTAGCTCTCCAAACACCCATGCTCTGAGCTCTAAATAATCTCCAGTTTAAACCCCTAATTTCAGTTCCTCACCTTGCATGAGGAGAAAGAATGGGAATCCCCTCCCAGGCATCACGTCAGCCTCTCCAGCTTAGAGGCCCTTGCAGTCTCCTAGCAGGTTCGCAGTGTAGCTTTTCACAGTCCCTCTCAGGAGGGAGCATTCCCCCTGGGTGCTGCCATTCCGCTGGGCACATCCTGCTGCTCAGAGATTTCACCGAGGGCACAGCATTATCCTTCTGGATAGTCCTTAGGATATGACCCCATGCTCCGGCACATTATTTGCCAAAGCATGAAAGGCAAAAAAAAAAAAAAAAAAAAAAAAAAGAACATCTGCTTAGGAATACAGTATGAGCACATGAACCTGCAGCACCTGTTGTGTGCATTCTGCTTGCTGAAACCCAGGGATCTTTAGGTCTAAGGCATGTGGGACCTCCCACAGGACAAAGCTTTGTGGTGTCACGAGCCCCATGCACCTCTTAGGAGGCTTCACAGAGGGCAGTCTGGATGCCGTCCTGAGCGGAATTGGGCATGGCCAATCCTTGAAGGATGTGAGCAAGTGAGAGCTGATGGTGCAAGTTCTACCCTCCCCACCTGGTGAGTAGAAAAGTAAGCAGAACCTCAAGGGAAATCCAGTCTTACAGAGTAAGAACTGGGGCAAAATTATGCAGTACACCCCAGGTTCTTTTTTTTTTTTATAGGACCATATAAAATATTGTCACTTACAGGTTGAGGATTAGCCAGTTGAGTCATTGCACTGGCCCCAAAAAGAAATAAATGTTTTGGGGAAAAAAAAAAAGCAGAGAGAGACATTAAGGAATAGCATCCTATATAACAATTGAGTGAGGCAACCACATAGCTGGAATGCTGAGACATTCCCTGCCTCAGGAAGACTGACGCAGGGATTGAGGTGGGGCCAAGGCTGCAGGTAGAGCCGGCGTTAAAGAACTGACAGTGAAGAGCTGAGGAAGGGGACAGTGAGTGAGGACTGACACATGTGCAGTACTGCACGCAGAGGCTGCCAGCGGTGTCCTGTCCAGTTCTGAGCAGTCCCAAGTCCGCACATGTAAGGTGAGTCAGAAGTGGAGAAGCATGATTGTAACGGAGGATGTGGTCTGTTCATCTGGAGCTCTGCATGTGCCATTAGAGAATCACTGCAGGGCCCAGCACAGTAGCCCAGCAGCTAAAGTCCTCGCCTTGCACACACCATGATCCCATACAGGTGCTGGTTCTAATCCCAGTAGCTCCACTTTCCATCCAGCTCCCTGCCTGTGGCCTGGGAAAGCAGTCGAGGATGGCCCAAAGCATTGGGACCCTGTACCCATGTGGGAGACCCAGCGGAAGTTCCTGGCTCCTGGCTTCAAATTTGCTTGGCTCCAGGTTTTGCAACCGCTTGGAGAGTGAACCATCAGGTGGAAGATCTTCCTCTCTGTCTCTCCAATAAAAATAAATAAATGTTTTTTTGAAAATCACTGCAGTTGACACTTGGTGAGGAAGACTGATAAATCCAAATATTGTGCACCAGTAGCCCAACACAATGGCTCAGTGGCTAAATCTTCACCTTGTACATGCCAGGATTCCATATGGGTGCTGGTTCCTGTCCCCTTGCTCAACTTTCCCTCCAGTTTCCCTGCTTATAGCCTAGGAAAGCATCAGAGGATGGCCCAAAGCACCCATGTGGGAGACCCAAGAAGCTCATGGCTGCAGGCTTCAGATCAGCTCAGCTCTGGCTGTTGTAGCTATTTGGGGAGTGAACCTGCAGATGGAGGATTTTCTGTAAATATGCCTTTCCAAGAAAAATAAGTAAATTTTTAAAAATATATATTGTTACAAATATATTGTAACTCACGAGGAGTGAGTTACTTGTGTAAGTAACTTGCTTGCTTTTAAGTTGTGTGTTACAGATTGTCCTGTCTACTCTTGTTAGTATCGGTGAGGTGCAGAACACAGATAAGTGGTGCAAGGCCCTAAGATCTGGGTGACTTGTTCAGTTGTCCTCCAGTGAGTGACTGAGTTTGGACCTGAACTACATGCAGATGATACCAGCATACTTTGTGGAAGCACTTGGTAGAGGAAATGATGAACATTTCTGTTTTCTGGGTTTCACAATACAAATTAATCTTTCCCTATTTTCAAACTAACTGGATAAAATCTTTACAAAGTCATGAAATTAAATTGATTCTGAGTACTAAATTGCTGCATAGCTTTCTTTTATGTGTGTAGATAATGACAGTGATATCCTGCAGTATAGGCAGGGTTGTAATTTATTCAGGTACAAATAATTGCCATATTGCTTTCCACTGCTTTGTGGGGAGATGTTGATATGTATCTATTTTGCTTTAAACTTTTTTAGTATTCTTGAGACATCCAGTTTGCAGAAACATTGGTAGAGACATCACTTAAGGCCAGCATGGTGGCACAGCACCTACCACCTGGGCATCCCAAATAAGGAGTAGGCTCTAGTGCTGCCTACTCTACTTCTGATCCAGCTGCCTGCTAATGCACTTGAGAAAGAAGCAGAAAATGTCTCAAGTGCTTGGGCCCCAGCCACCCAACTGGGCGACCTGAAGGAATTCCTTTTCCTGGCTTCATCATGGCCCAGCCCCAGCCACTGTGGCCTTTTGGCCAGAAAGCCAGCCAATGGAAAACCTCTCCCTCTCTTTTAGCAACTGTCCCTCAAACAAATAAAATAGATTTCCCCCCGCCCAAAAAAAAGTACATCCTTTTGTTCATTGAGCATTTTCACAAAACAGTCTTGTTCTGTGCTGGAGTGTCTTCCAGAGGACGTTGCACATTTGGCTCCAAGAGCGTGTTTTATGCCCCCTGTACTAGGTCAAAGAGCAACCATCGAAATTCTCTGTTTTTTGGATAGTTTGCTTCCTTCCTTCTCCTTTAAGTCTTTAACTACCTTGAACAGGTTAGGGGCCAAATATTTCTTTAACTTTGTATAAGTGGAACAATAAAAGTCAAGGCAGACATTGCTGCAGGTCCCGTGGGGAGAGCATTAGCGAGGGAGGACTCCTTGATACTGCTTTGAATGTGTACACTGTATCACTGCTTATGCTTCTTGGTTCTGAACAGCAGGCTCTCCTGTACCCTAGTTTAGGGAATCTCTTGAGTAGAAACTAATTGTGCCATCATATATAATGATTTTGTAATCTAGAAAAAATCCTGTCAGGGATTAGCATGAAACCTCTAAACTCATTTTCTCGGCTGCCTGAAATGGCAAGGAGCCACAGGTTCCGGGCTAAGGCGTTAATGTCGGGCTCTGGTTCCAGCAGTCTCCCCTTCAGAGGCAGTGGGGATATACTCTGTTATAACCACATCCAGTCCCACAATAGATTCTGTAAATCATTACGATAAAAATACTTTGGTGTCACTCTGTCCTTGGAACAGCCCCGCCATTGAATTCCTTGTTTGTTTGTTGCAGAGAAAGCAGCAGCTGCCAACATAGATGAAGTGCAGAAGTCCGACGTGTCATCTACGGGGCAGGGCGTCATCGACAAGGATGCGCTGGGGCCCATGATGCTGGAGGTAGCTAGCACACCCTCCCTCTCCTTCTTTACAAATTCTGTCCATCTTCACAAGCTTACACTTGATTTCGGGTGCATATACCTGCAAGAGAATCCACAGTATGTGTGTATACATCTGGGTCTGGTTCCTTCTTTTACCATGTATGTGTCTGAAATCTCTCTACAGAGAGTTAAATGAACTAGATTAGAATGCAGATGAATAAGCCTCAATTGCCAGTTGAGAATATTCATTTTAGAAAGTCATATTCACGAGTCACATCAAATTCCATGATGTTCTAGTTTGAAATGTTCCCTGGGCGTTTAAATTTTATATGTAATGTGTGCACATGCTAACATGTGTATACCGGCTAGCATTTGAAGACTAAAGAGGGAGTTAAGGCTTTTTATTTATGGTGCTACAACCTAGGCTGTTTGTCTTATAAACATGAATGCATGGGTAACAGGCAGAAAGAACTGTTAAGATAAACCAAGGGTGCTAGTGATTAGCTTCAACTGCCTGGGTCTTATTGACTTCAGAGGGCATAATGACAGTACTATCTAAAATATGGGAAGTCTAATTTTCCTGTTTTCCTAACTAGTACTGTACACCAAAGGCTTTACTGTGTGCCCAGATTAAAACTCAAAGGTTAGGCTGCAGCAAGATGAGGGGAAAGAAGTGTTAGTGAATATGCACAACAGAGAAACCCTCAGACATAAATGACGTCACCTCTGCTCATAAGAAAAGGAATTGCTTGGCCACAAGTTCTGTGGCTTTTTTGTTGAGGAATTGGCTGGCTGCAGCTGCCACACGGAGAGAAGACATTAGGATTTTTAAACCAGACAGAGCCAAATGTCTCTCCACCTCACTGCCCCCCAACCTCCCACTTTTTTTTTTTTTTTCATTTCAAATGTAATATGACTTTTATTATTAGGAAAACCTCATGCTGGTTCTGTAAAACTCTAGCCACTGACTGGGAGTGGAGAAAGAATACAGAAAACATACTAAGATCAGCTGACTCTGTCATTGTGCATTCCCTGGGCCAGACCTGCGGCCCGAAGTGATAGCCCTTGTTTACCTTCTCTGGGAACACTGGCTTGAGAGCATCCAACCCCTGCTTCTAGGGAAAAATGCAAAAACGTACTTAATCTGATTTTCCTGGTGAACAAGGAAGCTTCCCGCTTTGTTCTTAGAAGCAGATAATGAATAGTACAGCAGGTGCACTGGGCGGAAGAATTCCATGAAACTGAGTGGGTAACTCCCTCTGGAAAGAGTTTTTAATTGTAAACAAAACATTAATTTGGAAACCGTGATAGTCAAAGCTATCTCAGTAGGACAGTGCCCATGTATCTACGTTTATTCCTTGTATCTAAGGGTTGGGGGAATTAGAGTGGAAACTCTTGCAAAGACTTTGATTTTCTAAACAGTACTCAGTTACCACAAGGCTAACTCAAACCCTTTGAGAGGAAGCTCATCAATTTTAAAAATCAGATTGATGGTTGTCAGTGACTCTGATCTCATGAAACAAAACCAGCATTTTTGCTGTTTCAAAATAGTCTTCTAAGAATTCAGTGCATTGAGCAACTACCTATGTATCAGGACTTGAGTGCCAAGTATGCCAAAGAGGTAATGCTTAACCCTTGTGACTAATGGTTTGAATTTAGATCTGTATCCCTGTTTACATGTAGTCATTTAAACTGAGCAAACATGTTCTTGTGGAGCTGCTCCTGGGCACAGATGCACACTCATGCTTACATCATCGCCTGGTGGTTGCTAGGCAGCAAAACCAAATGTCAGCTCTTTTCATCAGAGAATATCATGGTGAGCTTTAAGAAAACACAGTTCTGTGAGATGAAACAATTCATCTTTCAGTTTTACTGTGCCACAAACCAGACTTTGTACCAGACTGTTTACTTTTTATGAAGCAATAGAAAGCACCACACACTTTCAGAGTGACCTAAGATGATATATTTATAAAATTTGCTGTCAAATGTGGGTCTATAGCAGGGAGTTTCAGAAGGATATTTGGCATGTAACTGACTGACACCTTCATGTCTCCTCTGCTTGTACACACACTTACGCATGGTCTTTAAGAGTTGGAGTCATTTTGCTATGGGAAGCACTGATGTGTGATCTTGCTTAGGCCTGCATGTATGTTATACATTTGGGAAAACCTGGTAATATCCAAGGAAAGCTCAAGACTAGGTATTAAGCTAAAAAGTAGGTGTTACATCAAAATCTTTTACCACTGCCTTATGTGTACTCCTAATTTTTAATTCATTTTGTTTTATTTTGATTCTTTAGTTTTAATATTATAAAAATAAAATGGAGTCTATTCTAAGATATTTCACAAACTAGAAGCTTGTTAAACAGTAACTTTATTATTAATGAAAAGACAAATTACTGGATATATACATGTAGCACTCATGTTACAAAACAGTAACAAAGTACAATAGAGAAATTAATTGCATGTGTTGGCTAGATCAAGTGACCATGACCTGAAGTATGGCTCATCAGTGTCAATCCTTTTTCTGCTCCTGATCACCCACCTGTCCTTAAGACAAAAGTTCTGACAAGCAAGGGTCAAAAGAGAAATGAGTGGTAAAGAGGAGACACTCACTGAACCCCAGCTCTTCCTCGCCAGTACACCCACAGTGGCAGATAGACTTGGCAGGATATTGATGGAGAACATGGCTGCTCAATCGCCAAAAGCATGAGCATGGGGACCAGCCCATGTAGATTCCTGTCCAGCTTTGCCACTGTTGTAACATCTTGAGTCACTTGCTGTTGTTAAGCCTCAATTTTTTTTTCTCTGTGAATTGGGGAAAATGCACCATCCTTTCTAGAATTGTCAATATTCAAATGTCATGCTCCATGGGTGTCCTTGCTCCCTGTGCTTCTTGAAATGATCTTGGATCTTTTTCTCCTTAGTAGACTAGGATGAGGACAAGCTAACAGTCTGTTACAGGATGTTTAATACAAGTGCTTAGGAGATGAGGAACCACAGGTTCATCTGGAGAGCAAGTAATCCACAAGGGCACAGTGTTGGCATCCCCAGGAAGTTAGCGACCGTCCCAGACCCCTTTTGGGGTTTCTTGAGATGTCAAAGACCCTCTGTGATCCTTTTCATGTAAACCGTGACAGCTGTAAATGTGGTAAAACTTGGGTTTTTTTCTCCCCATCCAAGGAGAAATTGTCAGTGACTTCCTTCTTCCATTGTGTAACATGAAGAACTACAACAAAATTGTCATGCTTTGAATTAGTTTCATAAAAGTTGTTCTTGGCCCTGTAGATTTTATCAAATTCATTTGAAAATCCAAGTTAATCACTGTACATTTGCCACTTGGCAATCATTGTCTCTTGATAAATTAACAGACTTTGTGTTCCTCATTTACTTTGGACAAGAAATGCTGATTGGAGCTATCTCCCTCTTCCAAAGACAGAAAAATTACTGTTTGTCCAAGGGAAAAGGTGTTCATTGTTTCTGAAAACTGGGAGGGGGAGAAGTGTCCTCCCTTTCCTGTCCATTCATAAATGCCACATTTCCCTCCAGAGAGCCTTCCCTCCTTAACTGTTGCAAATGATTTTTTGTTGTTGTTGCTTTCCTTCTAATGCTCTCTCTGTCTTTTCCCTAGGCCCTTGATGGGTTCTTCTTTGTAGTGAACCTGGAAGGCAACGTGGTGTTTGTTTCAGAGAATGTAACACAGTATCTAAGGTATAACCAAGAAGAGCTGATGAACAAAAGTGTATATAGCATCCTGCATGTTGGGGACCACGCAGAGTTTGTCAGAAACCTGCTGCCAAAGTCTATAGGTAAATGACCCTCCACTGGGACTCCCTTTCCACCTGGACCCCTCACAAGTAGCCTCTTGGTAGGAGGGGACAAAATGGAATAAATTATGTCCGTTGGGATGAGGAGAGACTGTTGATTTCTTAGAGCTGGTTGTGTTCCGTATTTAAGCTTAGAAGCCATGGGAAAAAGGACATCCTCAGATACTGCCCTTGAAAGAATGAGTGATTTGATCCTGTGTTTGAACTTTAAGAAATGATTCAGAGAGCAAGGACCCGTGGAAGCTTACTTCCTGGAACTTGCTCTGTTGGTTTTGTGCTAAAGTGACAAATTGCCTCTCTCTGTCCAATGCCAGCCATTCACCTCTGTCCATTTCTCCATAACCCTCTGAAAAATAACAGGCCTCCACTCAGTGCTTCATATGGGAGATCAGTATGTGTATGTATATAATATTGTAAAAAATGGCAAGGAACAAGAGGCACGTAGAGATGTTTAAACATCGTCAGTCATCTTTTACATCACAGACCCCGTGTTGGCCTGCTGGGTCATGATGAAACACTGCCTCCTTAGTCTACGGCCCCACCTTACTTCCTCATCTGAATTTGCTAGCTGAAGTGGCCAGGATGTAGGGCTAGCAGCAGCCCACCTAGGTGACACTCCATAGTATTGCCGTTGCCACTTAGAGTAAAGTGGCTTGCTTTGCTTTGTTTGTTTGTTTTTAGAGATTTATTTGCTTTATTTGAAAGGCAAGAACCAAAGAGAGATTTAGAGAGAGAGTGATCTTCCATCTGTTTATCATTCATCAGATAGCCTCCATGGCCAGGAGTGGGTCAGGTGACAGCCCAAGTACGCAGACTATCATCTGTTGCTTTCTTAGGCATATTAGCAGGCAGTTGGATTCTAAGTGGAACAACCAGGGCATGAACCAGTTCCCATATGCAATACCAGCGTCACAGGCAGCACCTTAACCAGCTATGCCACAGTGGTGGCCCCCAAAATGGCTCTTTTTAAATTTTCTCGCTTGGGCCCGGCGCAGTGTCGCAAGTGGTTAAGGTCCTCGCCTAGCACACCCAGGATCCCATATAGGCGCCGGTTCTATCCCGACAGCCCAAAGCTTTGGGACCCTGCACCCGCGTGGGAGACCTGGAAGAGGCTCCTGGCTTCGGATCGACATAGCATCGGCCGTTGCGCTCACTTGGGGAGTAAATCATCGGACGGAAGATCTTCCTCTCTGTCTCTCCTCTCTGTATATCCGCCTTTCCAATAAAAAACATAATAAAAATAAATCTTTAAATAAATAAATAAATAAATATTCTCGCTTATTCTGGTATTGCTGAGAATATATTCACATGCAAGAAATACATGTTTTAATGGAGTAAGATCAACTCCTGAGTTAGCAAGTATTTCACCTCCTTTTCTTCAGATTGTTGATATAAACAGGAAAAGGTCCTTTTCAAGTACTTTTCGTTAATGTATAAGCCTTTGTTCAAAGTGACTGCAATATGTGTGTGGCATTCATTTATTATATTATCTAGTAAATTAATAAGAAAATGGGATTTCTTATCCCCAGTAGCTAGCCAGTATCTTCATGTCTCTTCAGTAATTTTAAGACTTCCTCAAAGGGCCTATTGCCTATTAATTCACTGGTATCATTTTCTTATCTGATAGTGTACTTTTTTATAAACTTTCAGCTTATACCTAACTTAATGTCTTTCTTCTTTCTTGCACTGTTGTCTCCATTGTAATGGTTTAAATGCATTTTAAAATGTTGATGGTAAAATGGTAGTTTGTCCAAATGTCTGCAAAAGACATACAGAGTTGGCTATGCTTCTTTCTGTGATGTTCAAGTCATTTCTGGCAATGCACTGACTTGATACTTTTTCTTTCTAGGATTTGTTTCCTTTGTCACTCATTTAGCACTGGATGCAATAAAATTCACATGTCCTTCTAGGGGTTCTCTAGCTGGAGAATCTAAGGAACAAGTTTACTTACCTTATGATTCATCCCATTTCATGGTCCTGCTAGTCTTAATATTTTTAGGTAAAACACAGGGATGGTAAAGCACAGAACACCCAAATATGAATAAAGGTTGGTTCTGATGCCAGCTCTCCTAGCGTTTAAATGCTTTTCACTTTCAAAATAACGACATTAGTACTGTCTCTTCAAGAATTTCTCAGTCTTATTGAGGGAATGTACATGAAGCAGTTTTAAAAGATTAATGTGATAAATTGGGAACAGCCAAACTACAAAGTATATGCTTGGGACAAGCATTGGCCCAGCAGCTGATGATCTGGGTGGGAAAACCACATCCCATGTCAGAGCACCAGTTCAACTCCAACTCCCTACTAATGCATCTTTGAGGCTGTGTATGATAGCTGATGAAGTTCCTCGCTCCTGGCTTCAGTCTAACCCAGCCATAATTGTTGTGTTCATTTAGGTTGCAAATTAACAGATGGATGATTCTCTCTTTCTCTCTTTCCCTCTCTCTCTCTTTCTTTCTCTCTCTCTCTCCCCACCTCCCTCTTTTCTCTCTATCTCTGACACACACACACAACACACATCACCCTGCCTTTTAGAGAGAAGGGTCTGTAACAGAAGGCAGTGTGAAGTGCCTAGAGTTGCTGTCGAGTACAGGGACGCTCAGCCTTTGAGCATGAGAACCTTTGGAGAAAAAATTGAGGAAGTCCTGCTATTTCAGATAGGGAGTCAACAGAAGCAGATATCCACTTGGCATGGTGAGATGAGGATGGGGAAGAGGCAGCTTATTGTGGGCAATATGAAGCATACAGTTAGATTGGTGAGTGGGTAAGTGTTTCTACTTAGCAAGTTTTTAAAAATTTATTTATAAGCTTAAGTGGCCTTCAATTTCATGATAAGTCTAAATACTTTGACATAATTTAATGTATGCTAGAATTGGTGCCACATCCAGAGCTGGCTTAGGGAGCAGCACATCTAAAACTGGAATGCCGTGTCTGGCTCTGTGCGTAAAATACGTCTTGTGATACCTGCATCTGCTGGTGAAGTACATGGGTTCAAGTCTGGGCTACCCCACTCCCCATCCAGCTTCCCGCTGATGCAAACCCTGGGAAGCAGCAGATGATGTTTTAAGTGCATGGGTCTCTGTACCCACATGGGAGTCATGGTCTGAGTTTAGCCTGTCCCAGTCCTAGCTGTCACAAGCATCTCTGGAGTATGCCAACAGTTGTGAGATTCTCTCTTTCACTCTTGCTCTCTTTTACCCCCACCCACCCACCCGGTATGTATGTATTGTATGTGTCTTTCTCTTAACATTCCTCTACCTTTCTGATAAAATTAAAAGTGAGCATATTTTTAGGCATTTTGAAAAGCAAATGCACATGGATAGTCTAAATGTTTCAGCAGCCAGTTAGGAGAAACAAAATTAGACAATTCTGATATTCTCATAGTAACTAATCAAGATCTGAACTTGGGCCTGGAATGGTAGCCTAGTGGCTAAAGTCCTCACCTTGCACGCACCAGGATCCCATATGGGCGCTGGTTCTGATTCTGGCTGCCCCACTTCCCATCCAGCTCTCTGCTTGTGTCCTGGGATAGCAGTTGAAGACGGCCCAAAGCCTTGGGACCCTGCACCCACATGGGAGATCCGCAAGAAGCTCCTGGCTCTTGGCTTCGGATCGGCTCAGCTCTGGCTGTTGCTGCCAACTGTGGAGTTAATCAACTGACAGAAAATCTTCCTCTGTTTCTCCTCCTCTCTGTATATTTGACTTTCAAATTAAATAAATAAATAAATAAATAATCTTTTTTTAATCAACTGACAGAAAATCTTCCTCTATTTCTCCTCCTCTCTGTATATCTGACTTTCAAATTAAACAAATAAATAAATAAATAATCTTTTTTTTAAAAGACCTGAACTTAAAGGGAATCAGTCAGGTTGAAAAGTAGAAAGCATAGAAGACGTTTTGAAACTCCAAATAATTTTTCCAAGTTGTTAAGGCATTAACCCAAGGTGGGTTTTGTTTTGTTTGTTTTGATTTTTTTTCTGCAAAATAATATTTTTCTATATCATTTCAATAATTCAGCAACAATGAATCTACTATTAACTTCCTAATAATATGTGATTTCTTTTGCCTTGCCCAGTGAATGGGGGTTCCTGGTCCGGCGAGCCCCCCAGGCGGAACAGTCACACTTTCAATTGCCGGATGCTGGTGAAACCTCTACCTGACTCAGAGGAGGAGGGTCATGATAACCAGGAAGCACATCAGAAATATGAAACTATGCAGTGCTTTGCTGTCTCTCAACCAAAGTCCATCAAAGAAGAAGGAGAAGGTAGGACAAAAATTCTACAATATGTTATGAACAGCACATCCAACGGAACTTTCTACAGTGTTGGAAGTGATATGTCTTAATCTCTTCCATTGAGCACTGGAAGGCTAAGTATTGCAACTGGGAAACTAAGGGTATGCTCATCATTGTCATTATTAAATTTACTTTTAGAAGTCACCAATGACTTCGTACTGATGCCACTCCGATAGTGACTAACCTATGCGGAGTTCTAGTCTCCACTGAAAATCTGAGCCAAACTACACAGCCTTCAATTAGAACACACAGGTGGAAGTTGAGAGGCCAATTCCTTCTTCATTCAACAGCCTTATGACGTTAGGCAAATCCCTTCACTTCTCTAAGCATCTATTTATTGTCATAGGAAGTCGCCAATAACTGAATTGGAATGCAATAAGATTTTAATAAATATGCAGGAATCATGGCTGACATTGAATGCTAGTTAGTACTTATATTTCATATATTTTTAGTTTAAATTTTATTGTCAAGGAGATGTTGGAACTGTTGTGAATGATAAATAGCATTTCAAAATCAAACTTTTGCCTTAAGTGTATCAAATGATTTTATGCTATTTTGTACAATGCAGTAAGTGCTGTTAATTTATCCATCTGTAATTAAGTGCCAGAAAATTTAGCTTTTATTTTGTGAAACTCATGATATTTTAGTTTTATACCAGCTATTAGTAGATATATTTCAACAAATTGTTTCCTAAAGCATTGCCCTGGATGTTGGAGTGGCTTGAGGAATAAATGCCCACCACGGCCACGTGAGCAGCTAGCCATGGCCAAGATTCTAAACTATAGTGCAACTGTCCATTTCCTGGGTACTGTGGGGTTCATTCCCTGAATCTGCAGGGAGGCTCAATCTTTGTTTTAAATTGCATAGTGTCATTGTAAGGAAATATACATAGCTTGGTACATGGTATATCTAGTTTTCCTGTGTCACCGTGAATCTAAAACTAAAAAAAGAAAGCCCTTGACAAAACGGAATATCAGGTTTCACTTGTCATCAATTTTGTGCTTTGTGTGAATTACAGCGGTAGTCCACCTCAGCCACTGCCTAGGAAAGAAGCCCGTTCTTTGCATCACTGCAGAGATGGCTCCCACTGCTCGCCGTCCAGGGCCTTGGCTGTTCTTTCATTACATGTGCGGTGTGGCTCAGGCACTTGACCTATACTCCCTCCTCCTCCTACACAATGTGCCTTCTTTTTCCGCACTTGAAGAAAGAAGTCCAAGTGCATAGTGTGTTGCCGTTCTCCACCTTCCTGATTTACAAAGTGGTACTGTCATAAAACTACGTCTGGGTTTGTTCGAATCACTAATGAAAGCTTAATATTCTAAAGATCAATTTTTATGATTTAAGATCTGCAGTCATGCTTGATTTGCGTGGCAAGAAGAGTTCCTATGAAGGAAAGACCAATTCTCCCCTCATCAGAAAGTTTTACAACTCGCCAAGATCTCCAAGGTAAATTTTCTTTCCAAAACATTATAACGAGTGTGTTTGGATGAGTATCAAATCATTCATGAGGCAGTCCTGCAGAGCCAGGGGGCTGGTGTGAGACACTGCTGCCATCTTCCCATCAAGTCCACTTACCATGCTGCCTGTTCTAAATACAGTGGCAGACACAACTTTAACCAATTGTGGGTTGAAAGTATTGGGAACAAAAAGTAGTGTCTGGATCAAACATGCACAGATTTTTCCTGTCATTTCTTAAATAATACAGCTGTTAACAAAATGCCTTGCATTTGGATATTATAAATAATCTAGAGACAATTTAAACCATAGAGGAAGGAATGTGTGGGCTAGTGCCTGCTGTTTCATATAAGAGAGGTGAGCATGCTTGAATTCAGAAATGGGAGCATCCTGGAACCTGTGCTCCGTGGTCAAAAAGAGATGGTTGTGAATAAATGTATTTGAATTTCAAATTCAATTATGTCCATAGGAAATCAGATCAACATGTAGGTGTAATGGCTGTTGTTGTTTAATAGGCAAGATCACTTCTCTGGACACTAGCACCATGAGAGCAGCCATGAAGCCAGGCTGGGAGGACCTGGTGAGGAGGTGCATCCAGAAGTTCCATGCACAGCACGAAGGGGAGTCCATCTCCTACGCCAAGAGGCATCATCATGAAGGTCAGCATCTCTGAATAGCGTTTTTCATGGTGGGTTTCAGCTGAGTTGCTCCAACAAGAACCTGCAGGACAGAGATGAGTTGAAGGAAGTCAAATGTGGAGTGATAATGTCATAAAGACTGAGAAGAGGGAAGGACAGAGGTTGTTTTCTTTGATCCCAGGTGTTTTAGTTGTATAACAGGAAATAAAGTGGATGTTTAGACCAGCAGTTAAGGTATCCATGTCCGTGTCAGAGAGCCTGGCTTTCAGTCCCCATCTCCAGCTTCTGATCCACTTGCTCACTAATGAGCTAAGTGGATTTCTTCCACACACATGGGAAACACAGATCAAATTTTCACACTCCTGACTTCAACCCAGACCATCCTTTCATTGTGGGCATTTGTAGAATGAATCAGCAGAAGGGAGAGTACTTTCTCTCTCTCTCTTTCTCTTTCTCTCATGTCTAAGAAGTATCACCTGACAGGTCAATATTGTAGCATAGTGGGTAAAGTTGCTGCCTCTGACTCTGGCATCTGTTTGAGCACCACGTGTCCGAGCTGTTCCAGCTCCTGATCCCATTCTCTGCTGATGGCCTGGGAAAAGCAGTAGAAAATAGCTCAAGTGCTTGAGTCCCTCCATCCATGTGAGAGGCCCAAATGAAGCTCCTGACTTCAGCCTGGCTGGTAAGACCATCTGGGGACATGAGCCAGTGGTTACATTTCTCTGTCCCTCCCTCTTTCTCTGTAACTTTGACAAAGGAAGGAAGAAGGAGGAAGGGGAGGGTCACCTGGATCATAAGGGAAATCTAGAAGTAAGAGCAAATGAAATTTGCAGGAAAGACTGTGCCCTCTTGTAGAGGAAGCAGTAGGATCCCAAGGCCTCCTTTCAGGTTGAAACCAGCAAGTCTCACAGATAGTTCCAGTGGACCAACAGAAGTGAAGTGACTTGTCTTAGGTCACAGTCTTAATTAACAGGACAGGTGGAAGTCACTGAGAAGTAGTAGTGGCAGCCCTGGTCAGTGTGTGTGGTGCTGTCCCTTCTTAGTGGGCCTGGTAACCCTGCACCCACAGAGCCAGGGTGGAACATCTAACTGAGCCCAGCTGGTGGCCACTGTGCTCTGTTCCTCAAACTCCTACCACAGGATTACAATTTCTCAAGTGGCTTTTAATTTTCTGTGAAAGTGGTGACCATAGAGAAAAGTCCCTCTTGCTTCAAGAAGGAGAGGAGGAGTCTTTCTTCCTTCTCTCTGCGCCTGGCAGGTGCAGTAGGTCAGGAGGCCTGAGCTCTACATGAAGTGTCAGCATGGGCCGCATTGTATAAAATAGACTCATGACAGTATGGTGCACGCTGCAACTCAACCTAACAGTTGTTGTGTTTACCAGGAAAAAAAAATTGTGGCCAATTATTAAAGATGAAATTTCATTTTGTCATCATCCATTTAGTGTGCAGCTGTGACCTTGGCATTTTACCAGTAGTGCTTTATGTTTAAACATTGAGCTTTTCAGATCACTTAATGAAAAAACACAAATCAGGGTAAATGAACTCTCCAGTTCCCTCAGTTTTTTCTCATCTTCTCATCCTGTTCATTCTTCTATTTTCTAAATAAGCACATAAGTCAACAGTTTATGTTCTATCGTTTTTAGGTTAAAAAGCATGAAAGGAAATATAGATGCTAGGACCTACCATTTCACTAGATCTGAATAAAAAGAAAAAAATAACAACAAAAATTAAGGAATCAGTGTAAGCCAATTTCTGTGTCCTGGGTCTTAAACGGGCATGCCACACATTTAGTTCTGTGGCTTCTCCCTTCCTTACGAAAAGATTTACAGAAGTGTAAGATCCACCAGAAGGAAACCTTATTGAGACATTGTCAAACTTCTGATATCCAGGGAATCGCATTTGCATTGAGTAGAAATCTACTGAAGGGACTTTGGGCACGTATTCAGGTACATGACTCTCACAGGGCTTTTTGGCAGGGATATTGGCTACAGATCAAATAGAAGTGGAAAATCTGTAGGAATCGGAGTCGGTGTCAGATCCTAAGCCATTCGAAATACAAATCTTGTAATGCTCATATTATGTCACCTTTTAGAAATATTTATTCTGCAAACATATACAAGACACACAGGTACTTTTCGAGAATGCCAGAAAGCAACAGCAATGTAGTTTATCAGACGGCTCAAAGTGAGCTGTTTCAAGGAAATCCGAATCCGCACTGTCAGCCTGTGTCTCCTGCATGGCAGTTCTGTGGTGTGGTGGATGGTGGTTGCTCTCACACATGTACACTCCCTCCCTTTCTCATTCTTTTTGGTGCTTGGTCTCTTGAGGGCAGCCGTGCAACCCACAAGACTTGTGCTGAGGGTTCTGTGGTAAAAACTGAGTAGTCTTGTTGAAATGGTTTCAGAGGTAACTGTTACATCACTGCTTCTTCTGAATGCAGCTGTTCTCTTTTATACGAAGTACTAACAAGTCAAGCGATAAATTTCAAGATTATTTGGAGTCATTTTTGGTTTGTGTTATATTTTTATAACAAAATTGTCTGGAAAATGGGAAGTTCGTGACCTTTTACCTAAAAGTAAAAGTAAGCGCGTTATTTGTCACTTACTATTTGCACTTTTATTCTTCCAGTTTTCTTTAGCCTTTTTTTTTTTTTTCCACTTTGAAAAGATTCTTCTGGCTGTTTATCTTTTATTTCCTGTTGTCTTAATCACAAAAACAATGTCTCACACGGAAAGGAACAAAATTGAGGAAAAGTAGCCAGAGATGATGGATTCGATCTGGATATTCAGAGGACCTATTTAATGGCATAACTTGCGTTATAACATTTGTATTATTTTAAAAGCAAATTCTCGAGAGATGCCGTGGTTATGCGTTGTATTGCTTTCTAACATTTTAACCAAAGCAGTGATAAGCTTGTTTTGAACTGATAAAAATATATTTTATGCCCTACCTTGCCATGCTTTTGAAGGTTTTGTAAAAACAATTTTTAGGTCCAAACTTCATTCTTTTTCATAAGAAAAGCATATTGAGCTTAATGGTATTTTAGGTGAAAAGTAAACGTGCTTTTTTAAAAAGGTATAATGTTTTAATGTCACAAGTGCCCTTCATAGCCCACTCTGGAATGCTCACTAGAAGAGGAGGCTGAGTGGGGTCTGCTAGTCTGTCTTGTGCCGCCCTGAGCTGCTACTGGTTCCTTGTTTGCTAAAGCCCCATTCTGTTTCCTCACATGCATGCAGTGCTCCGACAAGGACTGGCCTTCAGTCAGATCTATCGATTTTCCTTGTCCGATGGCACGCTTGTCGCTGCGCAAACAAAGAGCAAGCTCATCCGCTCTCAGACCACCAATGAACCTCAGCTCGTGATCTCGTTACATATGCTTCACAGGTAATCTCACTTGTAAGAGATGGTTTTCCCTTGCTAAGTTCAAAGCCAACGTGACAAAAGTAACAAATCACTGCAGAGCTGTTCAGGTTTGTGAGGCACTTCCGGTCCTCATTGACGTTCACATAAAGCATAAAGCTTTACAGCCTTATTAACTGTTACCTAAAAGGCAACCTACCGTACAGGCAGTCGAGCTATCCTTTGAGTTGTAGCCTTCCCCCTGGTGGACTTTAAAAACCAACTTGGAGAACATGAGGGGACACTGTGAACCCTGCCGGATTGCCCTCTCTGCTCATGATGGGGGACAGACCAGCTCCACGGTGAGGCACGCCTGGCAGAAATGCTGAGGCCAGCAGTCCCATTTCTGCCCCATGGTGCTGGACTATAAAAGTTTTCAACGTAGACATTTAGGAAAAGTATGTTTGATTTTTGTTCTCAGATCTAAATTGATATCTTGATGAACTTTGAGCTGAAAGGTGATAAATGTCTCCTTTAAAAAGTAAAGAAAGCTGAATGATTTCAAGCCGCTGTCATAAGCCGTGCTGTTTTAGAACACACATTTAAGAAAGTGATTAAATTTCAACTTAGCAAATGTTCGTGCGGATGGTATGGGAAGCTTTAGGAATTGCTATCAGAAGTTACACAAATTCATTATGATGAAAGAGTTTCATTTTACTATACTTCTCAATTATTTGCTTTCTTGTTTAGGAATAAGAAGTTAGGCCTGTTTGTCAACTATTAATAAGTCTGACCTCCAACTGAAACAATTGGAAAGTGATTACAGATGTGGCAGATTTCACCCATGTAACTCAACACTGATGTTTGACAATTTGTTAAACCTGTTTTGTTTGGATTTGTGTGCCCATTTAGTAACTCTACAGTGATTGTTGAGGCTGTAAATTAAGGCTTATGGGCCCAGAAATGATCCTGCTCAGAAAACCTGTTTTTCACTCGCTAGTGAGAAGGCTGATCAGAGTTTTCTAAAAGTGGAAGAACAGATTGCAAGCTGGGGTCACTCCAGAATTCCCTCTGACTAGCAGCAGGGGAGGGCAGGGAGTCGAAATCTGTTTGATAAGATGATCTAATTCCAGCCTTTCTCAGTGACTGGTGCCCTGGAACTGGCTGTGCTTCTCTAGCAGGGGCACGTTTTCTTACCACATAGGGCCCAGAGCTCTCTGGGCTGGCGGGGTTGTAGGGTTGCCTGCTTTGGCGAGTTGCCAAATGTAGCAGGTGATCTGACAGCCGTGATTGTTTGAATCATTCTGAGTGGCAGCTCTCAGCTACCCATGAGTCAGTGGGGCTGTGTCATTGGAGCCCCTCTCTCCACCAACCTGCTAACTGTAGTGTCAGACTTCACGCGCCCTCCATGAAACTGCAGCCACCTTCAAGGAGTTGCCTGAAAATCGCACACTCAGTCTTGTCCATCATTGCACAGATGCTTTTATTAGAGTGGTCCATTCTTTCAATGTAATCTGTTCTTGTAAAGAAGAGAGGTCACTTTGCTTTTTAAAAACAAGTTGCTGGGATTTTTTTTTTTTTTTTCGTTTTATCTTACATTTCTTTCTTTCCTTGTTATACAGAGAGCAGAATGTGTGTGTGATGAATCCGGATCTGACTGGACAAGCGATGGGGAAGCCATTGAATCCAATTAGCTCTAGCAGTCCTGCCCATCAGGCCATGTGCAGTGGGAACCCAGGTCAGGACATGACCCTCAGTAGCAATATAAATTTCCCCATAAATGGCCCAAAGGAACCAATGGGCATGTCTCTGGGCAGATTTGGTGGTTCTGGGGGCATGAACCATGTGTCAGGCATGCAAGCAACCACTCCTCAGGGTAGTAACTATGCACTTAAAATGAACAGTCCCTCTCAGAGCAGCCCTGGCATGAACCCAGCACAGCCCGCCTCCATGCTTTCACCAAGGCATCGCATGAGCCCCGGAGTGGCTGGCAGCCCGCGAATCCCACCCAGTCAGTTTTCCCCTGCAGGAAGCTTGCATTCCCCCGTGGGAGTTTGCAGCAGCACAGGAAATAGCCATAGTTATACCAACAGTTCCCTCAACGCCCTTCAGGCCCTCAGTGAGGGGCACGGGGTCTCATTAGGGTCCTCACTGGCTTCGCCGGACCTAAAAATGGGCAATTTGCAAAACTCCCCAGTTAATATGAATCCTCCCCCACTCAGCAAGATGGGAAGCTTGGACTCCAAAGACTGTTTTGGACTTTATGGGGAGCCATCTGAAGGTACAACTGGACAAGCCGAGAGCAGCTGCCACCCCGGAGAGCAGAAGGACGTGGGCGATTCCGGCATGGCGCAGGCCGTGAGCAGCGACCGTGCTGACGGACAGAGTAGGCTGCATGACAGCAAAGGGCAGACCAAACTCCTCCAGCTGCTGACCACCAAGTCCGATCAGATGGAGCCTTCGCCCTTATCCAGCTCTTTGTCGGACACAAACAAGGACTCCACGGGAACTCTGCCTGGTTCTGGATCAACCCATGGGACCTCGCTCAAAGAAAAACATAAAATTTTGCACAGACTCTTGCAGGACAGCAGTTCCCCTGTGGACTTGGCCAAGTTAACAGCAGAAGCCACGGGCAAAGAGCTGAGCCAGGAGTCCAGCGGCACGGCCCCCGGGTCGGAAGTGACTATTAAACAAGAGCCAGTAAGCCCCAAGAAAAAAGAGAATGCACTACTTCGCTATTTGCTAGATAAGGATGATACTAAAGATATTGGTTTACCGGAAATAACCCCCAAACTTGAGCGATTGGACAGTAAGACAGATCCTACCAGTCACACAAAGCTAATAGCTATGAAAGCTGAGAAGGAGGAGCTGAGCTTTGAGCCCAGTGATCAGGTAAGCCCCTAACGTCTTCTCCCAGCTACTTGACTCAGTCTCCCCCAGGTTCCCTCCAGGGGACATTCAGGAGGCTTCTGGTGGCGAGGTGGAAAGAAAGAAAACTCCTTTGCCCGGTGATTCTGGCTTTGAAGCAGTGCTCACTGAGCTCTCATTAGCAAAGAGAGGCACTACAGAGCACGTGGGTCTGGGCCCTCCCCTTGTATGGGTTGACCGTCTGCAAGTTGTGCTTAGCAGGCTCTCGTCTCTGCCTCTGCTCCTCCCCTGTGCCACCAAGGGTAGACACAGCCACAGGACACTGAGCACACACAAATGGCTAAATCAAGTGATCAGCACAGGCATGTACCTACATACTCGGCATTTTTTGTGATGCCCAGCACTTAGCATCTGTACACGCGGCAGTTCTCAAATGTACTGCTGTGTAGATTTCAAAAAAAAATGTTATGCCAACGTTAGCTTTTGAATCCATTTTGTTAATAAGCTTTTGATTCCCTTTCCCAGAAACCCCAGAGTACCCTCCTGCTTTATCATTAACTCCATAGTCACCACCCTGCGCAGGACACCTCCTGGCATTGTTATCTGTACCTAACTGAAATTCTTGCCTGGTTAGCCACCGGTACACCTCAACCTTCTCCCCTCAAAATCATTGTCCATCCTCTTAGGAGAAGACACCACCATGGGGAAGAGTAAAAGCCATTGGCATTTTTCCTGGTTTTTTGTTTGTTTGTTTGTTTGTTTGTTTTTGTTTTTAAAAATGCTTTTATTTCAGCCCTCGTGGTTTGTTGTCCAGCATTTCCTGGGCACCCATCACTGCCTGAGGTTATTGACCCCAGACTTGGCGCCGAGCCCTCCACTCTCCTCGGGTCCCCTGCACTTCATATGAGTTGTAGTTAAGATTTAAGGCTGTGAGGACCTTCCTACTTACAGTTGCTCAAAAACTTGTCCTTGGAGTTGGTTTTGCAAGTGAATGTTGTGTGTGTCGCTGTCTGCCTCCCAGCCCTGGGAGCCACGCGCCCCTTGCTGAGTCAGCAGACGATGGATGCAGGTGGGGTGGCAAGGTTAGAGCGCAGCTTTGGGGACACTGAGGCCGTTCGTGCCCCTCTCGCCTGGCTCCTCCAGGCCTTCTAAGCACTTGGCTCCCGATCTTCGTTTCCTTCTGCTGTCCTGACGCCTACTGCCATTCCACAACATGACAGGCATTTTCAAGGTTTTGTGCCATCACTGAAGGGATCAGTCAGATTTTTTTAATGTTTACTTATTTTGATTGGAAAGGCAGATTTATAGGCAGAAGGAGAGACAGAAAGGAAGATCTTCCATCCCGTGGTTCATTCCCCAAGTGGCCTGGAGCTTTTTCTGTGTCTGCACATGGCTGCAGGATTCCATGGCTTTGTGCCATCCTCAACTGGCTTCCCTGGTCACAAGCAGGGAGCTGGAAGGGAAGTAAAGCAGCCAGTATATGAACTGGTGCCCACATGGGATCCCAGTGCATGCAAGGTAAGGACGTTAGTCACTAGGTTACTGTGCTGGGCCCAAGCAGTCTGATTTTATAAACATGCTTGAATGTAGACATTCGTGCACAGGTCTGTGGAGCAGCCCTTGTGCAGTGCTGTGAAATCACGGTGGGGGCATGGAGAGTAAATAGCAGTGTCTGGGCGGAGATGAAGTGTAACAGCATACGGCTGTAAATGTTGTGATCTGTGGCGGTCTCCTGGATTAGAACAGACAGTTCAGAGTGGCGGGCGCAGATAGTGTCACTCAGGTCTCTTGACACTTGCCAGAGGGCAAGAAGGTGACCCTGGGGGCCACCACCTCAGCTCAGTTTCCAACATGGTCTGCCCCTCCCTCCAGAAACACTTTATTTTTCTCTGCCGTGGCTGAGGCCCCGGGGACGCAGAAGGCCAGGAAGGGGGGGCCACTTTGGCCTTTCTATATGTATGTATTTGATCACAGTAACTCCAGACAAGAAACAGACAAGAGAACAAACTGAAAAAGAAAGAAAAAAAAGAAGTAAAAATCCTTGAGTCCATTGCAGTTTCTAATTGTCACTTAGGAGAAAACTTTCTAATCAAAATTGTCTCACCTAGGAAACAGAAAGCTCAGAGTGTAATCAACACAGATCTGTCATTCTGGGCAAATCAAACAGCAGTGTACACACACACACACACACACACATGAGTATACAGCAAGTTTAGCTTTCCTAATGAAATCCAGCCCCTGATCTCACGTCCCCCCACTCCTGTTTAAAACTCCACCAGAACTGCTTTGGAGCAACTTGAACGTCAGAAAACATTACAAGTTGAAAAGTCACCACAGGAAGTGTGTGCTACCTAATTTTAGATCAAAGTTAGACTGATTGACAGACTTTAAGGGGAAAAAAAAAGGATTCTTTCCCCTCCTGCACTTGTTCACTCTCCCTCCGTGCAGATAAATTGTGTTTGCTATTAAACCTGCACACATTTGTAGAAGGCTTTACTTTCATTTAAAAGGAATACAATAAATTATTTATTTGGAGAGATAAAGCATTCAGTGAGCCTGAATTGCAATTAACTGTCATGTTAGTTTGACTAGGAAAGAGCCATTAACGGAGGGTGTTCTTAACCTATTGCTAACTGAAAGGACAGGAAGTCCTTCGATGGCACTGTATTACCTAAAATAGCATTTTTTTAACTGGGTAGAGTATTTAAACAAGATTTGTTTCTACGACATTTCCTCACCAACAGGAAGCAATGACAGAAGAATTTCCAGTGTGTTTACTGACTTCTCTTAGGCGCTTGTTTGCACAATGGAGCATGGTTGATGCCTAACCAAGTGCTACTCTTAGCTTCCTTCTAATGCCACCCTGGCACTTACGATGAGGGCTTGGGGAAAGTGTGAAAGAATTGCTTCCTGGTATCTGATGCTGTTAAAAAGGCAAACCGTGTTTCTAACTGATAGTGTGTTGAAAATGAGCCTCCAAATGCGGTGAAATTCCACTCTTCATGGAAAAAATATTTTGTAATTTATTATTGTAGCACTGATATTAAAATGCATGGGCTCTTCATAGTTCCTTCAGAGGACAAGTTGATTTGACACATGGAAAAATCATAAAGCCAGAGAAGTGAAAATTTCAGAAATCAAGTCTAATTTTCATTTTGTAGAACTTTTATAAAAATCTTTCTGACTCATTTTCTGCCTGAAATAGTTTAAACTACTCAAATTGATGTGCCTAATTTGAGCATTCAAATAGATGCCTAAGCAAAATGTCGCAGTATCTTGGCAAGCTCTTTTAGAAGAAGGCATTAATCTTTTTGTCTTGCAAAGGAATGCTGCCTAACAAAATAGATAGGAACCAGAAGAACTTTTGGTGACAATTAAATCTTTTTTTAAAGATTTATTTATTTTGATTGGAAAGGCAGATTTACAGAGAGGAGGAGAGACAGAAAGATCTTCTGTCCGCTGGTCCACAGGCCAAATGGCCACAACAGCTGGAACTGAGCTGATTCAAAGCCAGGAGCCAGAAGCTTCTTGGGTGTCTCCCATGCAGGTGCAGGGTGCAAAGGCCCTGGGCCATGCTCTCCTGCTTTCCCAGGCGCAATCAGGAAGCTGTATGGGAAGTAAAGACACTGGGATACCAATCAGTGCCCATATGGGAGGATTTTAGCCTCTAGGCTATCACACTAGGCCCAACATTTAAATCTGATCAAACTGTAGCTGAGAAAAGTTTTGATTGGAAACCTAGTAAGTTTCTCTTCCCAAATTCAGAGGAAAATACCACAGTCATCAGATCTTGTTGCTTAAACAACTTGAGAAGTGTTTAGATATTCTGAACTTTATTTCTCTGTAGAAACACATTTAATTTAAACAAATGTGTATTCCAAAAATTGTCAAGCAGTGAGCACAAATAAGTATTAACTGTGAGGCACAAAGTAGAGGACAAATTTCATAATCTGTTTTTTCCTATGCTAAACTTAATGAATTCAAATAGTACCCTTTTTTTAAAAATATATTTATTGTTTTTATTGCAAAGTTAGATATTCAGAAAGGAAGAGAGACAGAGAGGAAGATCTTCCGTCCGATGATTTACTCCCCAAGTAGCTGCAACAGCTGGAGCTGCACCAATCTGAAAACAGGAGCCAGGAACTTCTTCCAGGTCTCCCACACAGGTGCAGGGTCCCAAGGCTTTGGGCTGTCCTCGACTGCTTTCCCAGGCCACCAGCAGGGAGCTTGATGGGAAGCGGGGCTGCATGTGGGCTGCATATGGGGCTGCAGTGCCCATATGGAATTCCGGCTTGTTCAAGGTGAAGACTAGCTGCTCGTCTACCGTGCCAGGCCCAATAGTACCCGTTTCTTATGGCTCTGTAAAGAACCAGTTCTTTTTTGTATTATTTTTTGTATTTATTTATTTATTTGTTTCTTGAAAGAGTGACAGAAAAAGACATCTGTCTGCTGGTTCACTCCGCACATGCCAAAGCCAGGAGCCAGCAATTGCCACCTGGGTTGCCTGCAATGAGTGGCAGGAACCCAGGAAATGAGACCAGGTCTGTTGCCTCCCAGGCACGCAGGAAACTTGATTGAAGATGGACAGGAGTCAGTCCTGGGCACTCTTGTAGGAGATGCTCATGTAGAATGTCTGATTCTCCCAAGTGCAGGCCTAACATACTCTGCCACAACACTGTTGCCCTCCCTCATGTAATAACAAACCACACAAGGATGTGGCTTGCTCAAGACAGATTTATGAAGTAACTTAGAATGAGGCTAACACGTGATTGGATTTGATTGACTTTTTTTTTTAAGATCTTATTTGGAAGGCAGGTGTACAGAGAAAAGGATAGACAATCTTCCATCTTCTGATTCACTCCCCAAATGGCCACAAGAGCCGGAGCTGAGCTGATATCAAGTCAGGAGCTTCTTCTGGGTCTCCCATAAGGGTATGGAAGCCCAGGGCCTTGAGCCATCCTCGGCTGCTTTCCTAGGCTATATTAGGGAACTGGAATGCAAGTGGAGCAGCTGGGACTAGGATGCATACCTTATGGGATACAGATGCTAGCAGACAGAGGCCTGTTAAGCCACTACTCCGCCCTCTTAGATTGACTCTTCAAATGGCAAGGATCAAAATTTCAGGGGATCAGAATTCATTATAACACATGTTTTTGAGAAATAAAACAGATCAAAAGCACTAGATTTGCAACTCTAAATTGTTTTAAAATTATTTTTTATTTATCTGAAAGATGAGAAAGAAAATCAACACTTTGACTTAAACCATCCAAATACACTTTAATGTACATAGTGGATTACAGGGTCACAAAGGAATACCCCTAAATCCTACCATTAGAACTCTAGAACTTTCTGATATTGTGGTCACTGTTTCTTTTTGTTTTGTTTTGTTTTCCTTGAAGATGTATTTGTTTTTATTTGAAAATCAGATTCACAGAGAGAGAGAAGGAGAAACAGATCTTCCATGTGCTGAAAAGAGCCTGGAGCTTCTTCCATTCCCCACATGGGTGCTGGAGCTGTCTTTCATTATCGCAGAGCTGGATCGGAGGTGGAGCAGCCGGGACTCAAACCAGCACCCATATAGGATGCTGACACTGTATACAGAGGCTTTCTCCACCACACCAGGGTGCTGAGCTAGTTTTGTTTTTCTATCAATAATAGTTTGGAGTATTTATGTAAAGGGAGTGGAAAAGGTGCAAGGCTCGTCCATGCTGTGGTGAGTCCCTGTGATAGGCACCTTAGTAAAGACTTTCTTGGACATGTATCTGGGGGTTAGGCTGTAAGTGTATCCATTGAGAAAAGTAGCCTGCTTTCGTTTTTGCGTTTGTGCGTGTGATTTACACGTGGGCTTACTTGGTTGGGTTACTTCTCATCAAAGGCAAATGCAGTGCTTTCCTGGGAAGCAACCTGTTTATTACAACCCATCCCCCTAACGCCATGCCCATGGAGCCTAAAGAGCCTTTGGGTTGTTTGTTTGTTTGTTTTGTTTTTAATAATGCAGTTTCAAAGTCTCAGGGATTTCCCCTTCCACCCCACCATTCCCCACCCCCCATCATACACACAGTTTCCTTATATTATTAAATAATCAACCAAGGGTGGCATTTTAATAGGGAAATTTGGCTTCCTGGCACAAAAATAAAACTCACAGTTCTAATCGAGCCTCTTTCTGATCTCTGTAACTATTAAAAACCTTTTTGATTTTTACCAATCATTGTTAGGAGGGGTTTTTCTGAAGAAGTAATGAGAACTCCAGGATTTTTTGTGAGATACAATAGTTAATGTGGTATGTTAGCATGATTGGAGGAGTTTGTCTAGTTGGCTCTTGGCTGACAGCACATTGCTGAGTTGCATGCTCTGTTCTTAGAAGGCACCAAATATACTGAGAGTATCAGTTTGTAGATTATAGATAAGCCAACCAGAATAAAGTTAACTCACTTCACATTTGCACTGAAAGTACACAAAGGCAGTTTTTTTGCATTCAGAGGAAAAGAAATGGTTCTGGGGCCTGGCACAGTGGCCTAGCGGCTCAAGTCCTCACCTTGAACATGCCAGAATGTGCCTAGAACATGCTGGCTCTAATCCCCATATGCAGCTCCACTTCCCATCCAGCTCCCTGCTGGTGGCTTGGGAAAGCAGTCAAGGACAGCCCAAAGCCTTGGGACCCTGCACCTGTGTGGGAGACCTGGAAGAAGTTCCTGGCTCCTGTTTTCAGATCAGCACAGCTCCAGCTGTTGCAGTCACTTGGGGAGTGAATCATTGGACGGAAGATCTTCCTTTCTGTCTCTCCTCCTCTCTGTACATCTGACTTTGCAATAAAAATAAATCTTTAAAAAAAAAAAAAAGAGGAAGTGGTTCTGGATAGCTGAGTAGCCTGGGTTGCCCTCCACTCACCTAAGTGATTGTGTGCCCCAGTGACATGATGAGGTGGGTGACCTGAGCTTGCCGGGGCTGAGTTCCACTACAGCTACAGCAATGTGAACATCTTAACTGCCTGCTTTTCCAACACACTATGACCTCTATGTCACAAGCTGCATTTGGGATTCAGCCAAAGCAGCAGCAGCGGTGTGCTGCCACTCTGCAGGAAAAGCTGCATCACTGTAAGAGGGAATGAGCAGTGCCATGCAAAGGAGCCACATCCTTGAAAGGATTGTTTTGTGTGCCCTCAGGAGTGCTAACCTTGGAACCATACCGCCACCTAAGACATAACTTTCTTGTCTTTGATGCCTCACCCTCTTGTTAGAAACACGTAATTAAAGTAACTAGAAAATGGTCTTGGAATTGCTCTAAGAAAACATGAGGAATTCCCTGAAAAAATCATCTCGACGTTATTGGCTAAGAGTTGTCTGAGAAGAATCAGAAAAAATATCAAGAAGTGTGTCCTTGTTGACTTTCGAAATATCTGTACATCCAGTCAGAAATTTCTCAGAGATAGTGTGGTTGCCAAGTCGAAAAATCTTCACAAACCCAGCCTGTACAGGGGTGATAGGAGTTATGTGTAGCATACAAATGGAAGCCATTGTGCTTTCAGCAGAACTCATTATCAGGTACGAAGGCAGACATGAACTTTATTTGGTTGGCCAGTGCTGATGAAAGGGCTTCTTGTGGTCACTTCAAAGCCCATTCTGTGACCTTGAGGAACTGCCTAACCTTAGGTACTCTACCTACACATCAAGAAAACGGTTCTCACCACTTTCCTCATTAGAAAGGAATCAAAGCATTTAACTTGGCCCTTCTTGCATATGGTCGACACTGTCTGACTTTTAAGTACCTGACACCTGGACAGACTTGACTTGAAAGGGTATGCGTAGCTTTTGCTTCCTGGAGAAAAGTCAGGTATAAAATGGTGGTGATCCTTACCTCATTGTTTCAATGGTGATAATTGGGAAGGAGAAAAATTTTTGGAAGGAAAAACCTTATGTGGCAAATTATGACTTCTGTAAACTTAGGTTAATAAAAAGAGTGCGGCAGCCAGTTTTCTTCCTGCTTCCCCATATATAGTCACATAAACTAGTGACTGAGAAAATGTCATTCAAAACAGAAACTACAAGCAAAAAGGAACCAGCACCACTCAAATTGAAAAAAGCAGTATCTACCTAGTTCATGGCTGCTTTAGGCCTATTTTCATTCCCCCTGCCCTACTCTTTTGGAGGGGAAAAGTCCTACAAGGAAATTATCTTTTGCTGAATACTGATTCATGACAAATATGCATCACATTGTATATGAGATAATTTTGTGTGTTGCTATTTCTTAGGGAAATTTAATCACGAAAACCTAGACCTGAACTGTAAGCCAATAGTCTACTTGAAATTAATTGGAAAATGCATACTTATAATTAGCTGAGTGATTAGTGTAAAATAAAGGAGAATTTATAAATTGCCAATGAGTCACAGTGCTGGAAGAGTTTTTGTGTTTTTTTTTTTTAATTCAGTCATCTCTTTTTATAGATGAGAGAGTTGAGTATCGAGATTAAATTACTTGCCTTTAGTCAATTTAATTTTTAACAAGATGATCAATTAGCTCCTAGACCCGCTGTTGCCAGTAGTCTGTATCTCTCATTTGGCTCTGCTGCCATACACCAGTTTGGGTATGTAATTGCAAATGGGCCTTTGGGGCCCACTCTTGGAGTAGGACTGGATAAACTCTTCTGTTTGTTGACTACAGCCTGGCAGTGAGCTGGACAACTTGGAGGAGATTTTGGATGATTTGCAGAATAGTCAATTACCACAGCTTTTCCCAGACACGAGGCCAGGCGCCCCTGCTGGATCAGTTGACAAGCAAGCCATCATCAATGACCTCATGCAACTCACAGCTGAAAACAGCCCTGTTACACCTGTCGGATCTCAGAAATCGGCATTGCGAATTTCACAGAGCAGTGAGTATGAGCTAAATTGCTGGTTATGCCAAGAAATTCTCATATAATCACTATCAGAAACAGGGATTATTGAAGTCTGCTACAAACAGCTTAGTCACTTCAAGTTCTCTGTGATCAAATAGCACCATCTGCTGTCCTGATCTTTGCAAACAGAATTTACAATGGAGCCTAGTGAGCAGTGGCTCTCTGGCGTGCCCTTGTGGGTGATTGGCAAAGCTGACTTAGGTTGATCGGTTCTAGTCTTCACACATAGATTGTAGATGTGTGTTAGTGTACAACTGGATAGTTAAAATGTTGAAAATTAAGGTGTTGGCCCTGATTTTGAAAAATAACAGACTGTTTTACACGGTTCTCAGTGCTACATTTTTGAAAGTGTAGGGTACCTTCTTTATTTACTATGAACAGTAGAATTATCTGATAGGTCTAAATGCAAGAAAACTATAACATGGCTTGCAGAACAGGTAACAGTTTTTCAGTATTAAACTGGTCAGTAGCATGATTTGCTTCCTTCTAGTGCAGATTGGACCTGAACCTAGTCAGAAATGACAGCCATCTGCCAAGAGCATGTTAAGTTACTAGATCTTTTCTCACATGATTCTGACCATTCGAAATAAGGCAGAAGAAAGATGACTGTTTATTGACTCACAAACCTGCCTGTTGTTTAGAGAGCAGAAGGTTAATTAACTCTTGAGAGTCGAAGAATTGTGAGAATGGTTAAGTAACGTGCCAGATGGTTCATGCTGTTAAACCAGCAGCAATGATGAAGACCTGTGCAGATGCTTCATGCTTTCTCATGGCTGGAGTTCCTGTTGGGGGTCGCACTGTTGGACAGTCCTAGCCAGATAGCTGCCTGGTAACTACAGCTGAGAAAGCTGTCCTTCAGCTCGAATTTCCATTTGCAGCCCCAATTTGTCCAAATATTTTGTTCCTATTATTGATAGTCAAGAATTTGCTTTCTTTTAAATATGCTGTTTTGGACTATTTTTCATAGCAAACTTGAACATCAAACTACAACTTATGTGTTACTAGTATTAATGCTTAGTGTACAATAAGTGCTTGTGAACTAATTGGAAAAATAGTTTCAAATCTCAAAGTGTCCAAAATGTAAAGAAGTTATACTTAGAATAAGGTAGATTCTTAAGCTTTACTTGAATATTGTTTCACGTAACAGAATTGAAACTTAAGTATTTTTAACTTCCAATGAGAGTAACCAGTTTTAATCTAACTCTAACCCTAAGAGAGTACAGTGTTGAATTGAACATCCATGCCATATGTGTATTTATTTTGGTGCTATAGTCAAGAGATGTTTATAGCTTTATAGCTATGGAAAGCAGTGCTTCTAAGTTGGAATAATTTTTTTAAAATCCTGTTATTGGCTTATTTGATTATTATAAGTTATTGTGGAAGAAAATACATGACAAATAATAAATGTATCTTTCTCATTTTTAATTTTTCTTTCCCACAAAATGTAAAATTACAGACTTGCTGATCAAATCAAACGTCTGCATTCTGTTGCTTCATGTGTTTTTTGTCTGAATTTGTCTTTTATGGAGGTAGTTGGTCCCTGGCGTACCTCTAACTGCAGTTTATAGGCAGCATTTTCCCTTAAACACTACTACTGTTAATATTCTTTTCCATTATCCTATATTAACCTTCAATTTTTATTTGTTTTCTCCTTAGCTTTTAATAACCCACGACCAGGGCAGCTGGGCAGGTTATTGCCTAACCAGAATGTACCACTTGACATCACATTGCAAAGCCCAACTGGTGCTGGACCTTTCCCACCAATCAGAAACAGTAGTCCCTACTCAGTGATACCTCAGCCAGGAATGATGGGTAACCAAGGGATGATAGGAAACCAAGGAAATTTAGGGAGCAGTAGCACAGGTAAGGGTTCAATGCACTGTTGCTTTCTTGGTGGGTTACTTAACCTATTCATGTTTTTATCCACATCAAACCAGAACTTCTCTAGTGAATCTTTTCTGTTCAGAACTATCATATGAGCTTAAGAAATTTTTGAATTTTCCCTGTGAGAGTGTCATATCAGAAAATATTCCAATAAGCTGAGTATTTTATTCTGTGACTTTTACTTTAAACAGGTTTCTAATCCTTCATTCTATGGCCTGTACTTATCTCATTTGTCCCCCAGTTCTGAATATTGCAGGGTACATGTAAAACACCTGTGGACTGCTACCTTCCAGTGGTGGTGTGATTGCTCAAAATATCTTTTTTTAATTTTTTTTTTTTTTTTTTTTTTTTTTTTTTTTTTTTTTGCTTATTGCTTTGTTTGAAAAGCAGAGTGTTGGAGAGAGAGGGAGAGTGTAAGGTCTTTTAAATGCTGTTTCACTCTTCAGCTGTCCACAACAGCCAGGACTGGGCCAAACTAAAGCCAGGAACCAGGAGCTCCATCCTAGTCTCACACTTGGGTGGCAGGGCCCAAGCACTTGTGTCATCTTCTGCTACCATTTCATACACGTTATCAGGAAACTAGATCAGGAGCAGTTCAGCCGGACTCCTATTGGCACTCCACTATGGCATGCTGACTTCCAGTGAGCAGCTTAGCCCACTATACCACAATGCCGGCCCCAACACCACCGTGCACACAATGAAAACTTCCTATTTATTGATAATTTATATCTGGAGAATTTTACTATATAAGCTTATTAAAGTGTGGCCAACCTTTTGTGCTTGTGGCAATATACTTCTCATTCAAAAGATATATACAAACATATAGAAGCAGTAACAACTCTGAGGTCTGGTCCAGTATTGTGTTGCCAAAAGCTGCCAGGGCCTGATTTGGACTTTGACCTGCTCTGATTCAGGCAACAGCCACGTTGTAGCAGCTAGCATATTCCCAAACTGCCATCCCATTCAGATTCAAAACCATTACAGCAGCATTGGTGTTGTTACTGCCACAACCTGCAGTTAACAATATCTGTTGACCACAGATGTGGCAGGGTGCTGGCTCCTCAGCTAAAGGGCTGCTCCCAGCTTTCTTCCTTTGTCTCAATGAAGTATAAGAGACAAAGACACGGAAAGAAATAGATATAAAAGCTTAACAGTTGTGGGTGCTTTAATTCTTGGTATTTTATTTTTAACTTAGTCTGTTATCCCTACCCATTATCATTCACATAGTTAATTGAATGTAAGGGTTCAATTTAAGGGACAAAGCTGGAGCCTTTCTGTTATTGGGTAAGGCATCCATGGACTGTACCGTCTTAACTTTGGAAACCTCCTGTGTCAGGCACTGATTAGTGGCTACTTCCCTAATTTGCGCAGTCCCAGGAGTCATGTCATATTCATGTCATGTTGGATACATTAAAGTTGTGGAAGAGCAAAGTTAACGAATGGGGTCAGTGTGGCTCCTTGTGAGCAGTGTAGATCTGCATTCTTGGAGTCTTACCTAGAACTTTGGGAATTCAGATGTGTTGGAACCCAGGAAGCCAGAAAGCTGCCAGGATCCAGGCAGCAAGGTCCTCAGCTGGCCTTGCTCTGCTTCAGAAACTCAGACTGAGAGCTGCGGCCTGGGGCCTGCTGTATTACTGTAGTTGAATCCTAGATGCTTTTTTCCCCTTATGCTTTTAGATTTCCCAGAATCTTGTTATTTAGATTACATATATTTGGAAAAATAAAATGCTTTTTGCCCATATTACCCTTGTATGAATCAAATCTAACCTTAAAATATGCTTTTTAAAATACTCACTAATGTAACATTCCCCAAGTTTTAAAATCTAAAACTAACTACCCTTCAGCGTGTTCTTAATATAATGTTGCTTCACAGGTAAACAAAGCCCCATAATCCTAGCTTCTGCTACATGTTACATACCGTGTTTTTAATTGTTTAGCACAAAGCTAATGAAGCAAGCCATGTATCTGAAAACCAACCTTTTATACACCATCATTACAACACTTGAAAAATAAAGGAACTTCATGTGGGGTTTTTGTCTTTTACAAAGTCGAGTCTTAGCCAGGGTTTAGCCATGACTTGCATGCTGAGGCCGAGCCAGAAGGGTCACACACTTGATCTCATTGGGCAGGATGCTGCTTTTGTTATGTATCCTCAGATAACTTAAAATCTCAAGCATGGATGATTTTCTTGACATCTCTTCTCACCCATCCAGATCTGTATCATAGGAATGTGCAGGCCCATGTATACTGAATTAGCAGGAATTCCTTCACCTTGATCTTTTTGGCAAATAACAGAAAGATCTCGTAAAATTGAGTACTAATACTCAGTTTTTACTTTGTTCCTCTCAGCCTCACCTCCCCTCTGGAAAGTAAAGCATTGACGTGTGTCTCAGCTAATGTGATTCACTTCCTGAGGAAGGAAGTTGGGGTTATCCACTTGCCACAGCACCTGTCTCTAAGTACATATGGGAACAATTGTAACAGCTTTTCCGAACTGTAAAGACCTGCAAGTCCCTGTTACTAAAACCTTGTAGTAATTGCAAGGTCTTATTTCATAGCCAAGAGCCCACAACTACCCCAGTGAGGCTGTCAGCTCTTGGGCTAACTGTGGATTGCAGAATGATTGTCTAGTCAAGAGTAAGGTCATCTGGTGTTCACACATGTAAGTATGTCTCCTGTCACTATGCCAATCGGTTGTGTTTGGCTTGCATGCAGGGATGATTGGTAACAATGCTTCCCGGCCCACCATGCCGTCTGGGGAGTGGGCACCGCAGAGTGCAGCTGTGAGAGTCACCTGTGCTGCCACCACCAGTGCCATGAACAGGCCAAACCAAGGAGGAATGATTCGCAGCCCGACCGCCAGCATCCCCATGCGACCCAGCAACCAGCCGGGCCAGAGACAGATGCTGCAGTCTCAGGTCGTGAACATAGGTAAGCTCGTCCCCGTGCTCTCTGCTTTTTATGTTTCTGCTTGCTTTGAGTGCAGTGTCAACCCCACACGTTCTTTCAAGATATGCTAATCCCCTCAGGTGAAGAAGCTCTTGTCAGTGGGGTTCTGCTGGAACTATGTATGCAATCATAGAATCCTAGAATCCAGAGGGTCTCCACTTACTGGATGAAACCAGCTGTCTTTGGGATGCTTTATTTTTTTTTTATGAAAGTCCCAAAATTCAGCTTTTGAGAGAAGTAGATTACAATGTCAAAACTAGAAATGTCTTGTATAAATAGTGTTGTATCAATGCAGAAATAGTCAGGAAAATGCAACGGTTCCTTTTAATTCTGCATGATCAAGAGACTCCTCCCTCCCAGGAGCTTAATATGCAGAACCCTGGGCCACCAGGACAGGCCACTCCAAGTCCGCATGGAAAGTGCAGATTCTTAAAGAACATCTCCCAGTGGGAGAATCACTTGATTTGGAGATAATCTGGTATGTGTGTGTGTATATATATATATATACATGTATGTATATAGAATAGGCAGATCTGCAGAGAAAACAAAGACACTAGTGGTGACCTAGGGTTGAGGCTTTTCAGGAAGTAGAGAGTGATAACTGATGGGATTTCTTCTTGGGGGAATGAAAATGTTCCATAATTGATTAAGGTGATGACTGTTCCAACTCTGAATATATAACATTACCCACTGAATCATAGACTGATTTGTATGGTATGTGAACTGTCTCAATAAAGCTGTACTATTTCAAAAAAATTAACTCATATGTTCCCTTTGACATTAACTGTCCTCTTACACGTTAGCATAATTCAGATGGGTCAATGTTTATGTCTCTTCCCTTTATTTCACAATAAATAAAAGGTAAATCGTTCACAGAAAGATACCAGGATTGTTTCAACAAGACAATGCAAAGTTGTTATCCTGACTCCAGCATCAATTTCTTGCCTAGCAATTTAATTGTTCAGTGCATTCCAGCTTGTTTCTAATAGATGACATTCAATTTGCTTTTCTACATTGAGTGTACTAAAAGTAATAAGTGACTCCCAGACACAAATTTAAACAATTTGGTAGTTTAGGGAAAATGTTAAAAACAAATTCCTGCATAAAATTAAGCTGAAACATTTAAATAATTGTTAATTCATTTTAAAATCATTATAACAAATGCTTTATACCAGGAAACCCAATTTATTCACATTCTTCACTGGAGGGCTTCTGGCTTTGAGCTTGGAATATGGCTTCAGTAAGCTTTATTTTGTAGCTAATGTCTGATTTTTAGTGCACTTGACAGAAAACAATATTGTAATGGAAAGCAGGTCTACAGTTGATGCAGGTAAAGACCCCATTAGCTTTAATGTACCTAACAGGCCTACTGAGAAAGAACTTGTCCTTGTCTGGACTCCCCTCTGCTCTGTCCTTTCCCCCTCTGAAAGTGCAGTCAGCAAGAGCTCAGGAGCAAATGATCCAGCCCAGCACCTGCTGGGAGTGTGGGCCAGCGCCCAGTGTCACTGCAAGGCCAGTAGCTAAGACACTCCCCTTGCTGTTCTCCTTTCACAAGAATGCAATAGATGTTATATACAGGGTGACATCACAAGGGATTCAGTGTGAAAGCACGAGAGATGCCACCACTCGCTTTGAATCTGGACATTAAAGTGGCTCACACAAATGTGAAACCTTGCTCTTAAGACAGTTTTTTTTTTTTAATAAATTAGTGCTGTTTCCCTCTTTGTTTCAAATATAGTAAATATCAGTGATAACACACAAATAAAAGTTTTTTTAAGATGATACAAGGCCTTTATGTCTATAACTGCTGGTCTGAATATGTCTTTATCAGCTTCAATGTTGCCTTTATATCAAAACCAGAATTTTATCTCATTTTCATCCAGATACAGATTTACTGCTTCTGTCCTGTGCATTTTCCATAGAGGCAATGTTTCACTTTATATTACATAGCAGAAGCTAATACTTGCTTGATGACAACATGAAAGGTTGTGGTCTTTATTCCTCCCTTTTTAGGGCCATCTGAATTAGAGATGAACATGGGGGGACCTCAGTATAGCCAGCAACAAGCGCCTCCAAACCAGACCGCCCCCTGGCCGGAAAGCATCCTGCCTATAGACCAGGCGTCTTTTGCCAACCAAAACAGGTGAGTCCTGAGCACGCAGGACGTGGAGGAGAGCAGTGGTGGTTCTGTGTGCCCTAAGCTCTTTGGGAACCATACCAGAAGGTAATCCTTCCCTTGGGATAGCCGATTCCGCTTCATGTCGTGACTGTTCCACTTCTGGTGCAGCTTCCTACTAATGATCTAGGAAAAGCAATGTAAGATGGCCCAATTATTTGGGTCCCTGCCATCCACATAGGAAATGTGGATAAAGCTTCCAATTCCTGCCTTTCACCTGGCACACACTGACCGTTGCAGCTATCTGGAGGTTGAACCAGCAGATGGAAAATCAGTTTCTCCCTATCTCCCTCTCTGTTACTTGTCTTTCAAATAAAAAAAATAATAATTTGTTAAAAATAAGTTGCAATTGTTGGATAATAAATATAATAAGTAGAATAGGAGGTGGTATGTATTATAAATGCTGTAAGAGAAATATAAACAGTATGTTAAGATATTATCCAACTGAGATGACTGGGGAAGCCTGCAGGGTCCTGAAAACAGAGGTGTGGCTTGCAGAGAGGTAACAGGGCCAGTGCAGCCAGCAAAGACAGCCTCCCGGAGCCCAGGCCACACACTGTGCTCAGGATAACAGCAAGTCAGCCCAGCTCATCTTATGTGTACTTCAGCACCAGCAAGCGAAAGGCAGCATCAGAAGGTGTAAGTGGAAGAATAGATTTTTGTGGCTGTTTTCTTTCTCATTTCTGAAATATTCTGTGTCTTCGCTGCAGTGTGAGAATGGTTTTCCTTATCCTTGTCGGTATTTGGGGTGTGTTGTGTTGTGTTTTGTTTGTGGCTTCACACTTATCAGTTAAGGAATATTTTTAGCTATATTGTCATCATATTATGCCTGTCTTCCACTTCTGTTTATTCTTTCTGGGATTCCATTAAGACCTCCATTAACCTTCTTCTGTGTTAGCTTAAGTTCTACCCTTCGTACAGCTGAGTTCATGTACTTTTCATGTACCATAGTACAGGATGGTTTACTCATAGCTATATCCTGGTTTACTAATTCTCCCTTGAGCAAGATTTGATCCAGTTGTATGTTTCACTTTTTAAAGGGCTTGATTTCCTACTTGTTTCTCATAGTCTCTTAGTGCCTGCTGATTTTTTAATTCTCTCTTTTGCCTTTGAATGTAATATTCATAGTAACTTTCTAAATCTCATGATCCAGTATCTGGACTTGAGGGTGGGTGGGAGGGTGGAAGGGCCCTCAGCTTCACTCAGCACATCCTGCATCCCTGAAGATTTGGTACCCTTGCGTCGGGAGTTCACAGTTGATGGTGCTCAAAAAAAAGATGTGACCTGAGAGAGCTTTTCTCGGGAGGTTCCTGCTGGTCTCCGCAGGGGCTGGGGTCACCACTCCCCTGGGGTCCTCTGGATGCCTTCAGCTCAGCCAAGCAGTCTCAAGTTAGCCTTGTACGTACTTTGCTGAAGCCCAGGAACCCCAGCTCTCTTCACCGTTTAAGAGGTGCTCAAGTTTTTACTCCCAGGTGGTTTGCTTTGGTTTTCTATCCACCGATCGAGGAGATTTTCCCCAATACACTGTAGTTGTAGCACATGCTTGATTGCATTGTTTTAGCGGTGTGTTGGAAACAGATGCTCTGTGAGGCACCTCGAGACTCAAGGAGAAGGGAAGCGACAGGCCCCAGGGTGCAGAGGTCATTTAGGAGCCTGGGCAGGAGGCAGTGGGAGAAGTTGAACCTGAAGATGATTACTGCAGAAATCTGGCCCTGGGTCTCTTCAAGAGTTCACGAGGGAAACTTGGTGAGGGCCTTGCAGAGATTCCTTTAAGCTGGAACGCATGTGTGATGTCACCAGATCTCAGAAGTGACAAAAGCAGTCAGGCTTCTGAAAGCTTGTAAGGGTGGACTAAATTTCCATCTTTACAAGATAGAAAAACAAATAGGACTAAATTTCCACCCTTACAAGATAGAAAAATAGCAACTGCAGTTATTTTACCTGAAGAAGACCAGGGAGATTACTCATTACCTGTCCTAAAGATGAAGGAAGGCTGCTTACCTGCTGAAGGAAAAAAGCGCACAGTTGGGGTCTTTCACACTGCTGGGACAGGCGTCTAACCTGACAGTAATGACTCCCACATCGGAGTACCTGAGTTTGACTCCCTCCTGACAGTAAGCTGCTTGCTCATGCAGGTGCTGGGAGGCAGTAGTAATGACTTTAGTAATTGAGTTCCCAGTTTACTCTCTATTTGAGACAGATTGAGTTTATTCCTCCTGGCTTGAGCCTGGCCTAACCTCAGCCACCCCAGCCATTTGGGGAGTGACCCAGCATGTGGGATGTGTGCTCTCTGCCTATCACATAAGTAATTTGAAAAAAAAAAAAAAAGTAGTAGAAATTCTGAACCGCCTGGGTAGGGCCCATGGTTCTGCATTTTCGGCTAGTCCCAGGTGATAGCGCAGGTATTCCTGCTACACACTGAGTAAATCAAGGCCTGGAAGACAGGAGAGCCTGCGGTCCACTGGAATGGCTTGCTGAGGACAGCTGCCAGAGGCAGAGAGCAGAGAATACCACGAATATGCAGCCACTATCACACAGCCTATCAGGAGAGTGAATTCTTGAGGTCCTTCCAGCTCTTCTGGTCCGATTTCATGGTGTCACTGAGTGGAAGGCTTTTTCTACATGTGTTTATTTGATATGTTAGAGACTCGTGCATTTCCATGGAAGCATACACCTTATAAAGCATATACCTTATAATGTCTGGTACCTCATACTTGCTTTTGGGTGTAATGTCAAAGATTAGTTTCCAGAGAAAACTACGCCAAAGTTAAGATTTGTACTGTTGCCTAATAGAGAGTTCCAGTATAGCAAAGATAGACACAGTTCCTAAAATAAAGTTGGTTCATCTGCAGAGAGAGCCTCCTCAGGGTGTAGGGCAGTATGTGCATCAGAGGTACCCTCTCTGCTACTGCTTCTGTGACCATGTGACAACTATTGCAACAAAACAAAACATTCTCACCACCTGTATAGTTATTTCAGTTTTCCTGATCATTGATTTTACTTATATTACAAAATAAAACAGAAAACCTTATTTGAAACATTTATCTATTTGAAAGCAGAGTTGGAGATGGGAGGGAAGAGAGGGAGAGCTCTCCCATCTACTGGTTATTCTCAGATGGCCACAGTGGCCGTTACTGGACCAGCCCAGATCCAGGCGTTTTCTCTGGGTCTCCCATATAGGTACAGATGTCCAAGCACTCGGGCCATCCTCCACTGCTTTGTTTAAGCACATGAGTAGGAAACTAGGTTGAAGAAGAGCAGCCAGGACTTCAACCAGGCCCCAAGTAGGATGCCAACACTGTGGCAGAGCATCAGTGCGCAGCACCAGCCCCTTAAAGAAAGATTCAAAAGCAGGCTTCTAAGTTATACATTTGAAAAGGACAGTAGATTAGCCCATGAATTTATGATATACTCTTTTATTTATAGTTAGACTTTTTAGTACCGTTGTGGTTTTCATTCATCTGCTGTGTAAAAAGGAGATGTTTAAAAATATAACCAAGAATTTATGACTGACTTTCAAAGATTTCTCTTGGGCTTGTTGAAGGGATTTTACTGGAGGTATAGTGGCTACATTTCATGAGAGGAGTCAAGGTTGAGCAGCCTTGGGAGAAGGAACATTTCCTTCCTTCCAGTCAGACAGGCTCTGTACACCCCTATGGGGATTGTATCCCACGTTAGCCTGTCATCTGTAGGGAGTCTAGGGTGGGTAGGTTACAGATAAATACAGCTGCTGAAGAAATAGAACCCGGAAACTGTAAAGCACAGGTGGGCTAAAGAACTCTTCTGTGGCTCACTTAACCCAGTGTCTTTGAGGGTTGAGGTTTTGGTCTGATACCCTGTGGACAGACATCTGCTCCTAACTGACTTTTGAGTTAAGAAGTCTCTCGGATGAGACTGCCACTTCCATTTGTTGGTCTCTCCTCATCAGGGAGTGTCCTCCTCTCTGGACCTCCGTGACAGGCTGGCTGTGGTTTTCTTCCTTGTTGCCACTGTTCAGTACCTGCTGCTGCTAACTGCTGCTCCCCGAGGAGAGCAACAATGGAGTGATCTGACTACATTTGAATCGAAAAAAAATCACTTCCCGAGGATGGGCTCCAGAGGGAACCATCAAGAAACCAGGCCAACAGGTGCCCTCTTAGCTGAGGCATGGACAAGGCAGACAGCACAGAGACCCACCGCTCTGAAGGCTGGAAGGGTGCCTGCAGAAACACATGGCTCCCTTGGATGGAACTGAGTGTGCAAGGACCCACTCAAAGGTTGCCGTGCCTCAGGGCAGTGGGACTGCTGGCTGGCAGCCAGGAGACTGCAGATGAAGGCTGGCATCAAGGCTCAGCTACTGGATTTTTTCTTAAAGGAACCAAGGGTAAATGCAGAGTACTCATTGTGACTATACTCCGTTATAACTAGGTGAAACCGATTGGTGGTTTCAATGCTCAGCATCTCAGTAACTCAGGATTTAGTTGAAGGAACAGGCTGTCTACAAAAGCAAGGAGGCATTGAACTGGGTTAGATGGACAACTTCATAATAAATTTATCCTTCTTATCTGTAGATTTCTATTGTCCCTCAATAGAAGAGTTTAAGCAAGTTTAAGAGTACAAATAGAATTTTGGTTAAAGATAAGTGTCACTTCTCTTTGGTGTTAAAGTAGCATGGAAGCTGTTATTGGAAAGATACATTCATTTGTCAATTAATTTAAATTAGGAGTTTTTAAATACAGAGCTTGAAGTTTAGTGTTGGGGACATCACATGCTACCTTGTATAACCAGTGGACGTAGTATTTCCTACTAGAGTTTGGAAAGTCCTTTCATTTCACTGGTGTAAAGTCTGTATCTGCCTGCTTGAGAAGTAAGTATGTCTTGTGTAGAATACTATGGGCTGTCAGTCCCTGGCCTCACCCACAGCCAGGCTGGCACCTCAGCTCTGCATTATGTGCCACTGTGATCTCCAGCAGGTGCTTTGCCAGCAGTGAAGCAATGGGTGATAGAAACCAAGTTTATAGTTCAAAGAAAGGACTGAAGAAATGCCATGTTATTTAAATTGTCATTTAAAAAAAAAAAAGATTTTATTTTTATTGGAAAGTCAGATATACAGAGAGGAGAGACAGAGAGGAAGATCTTCATCTGATGATTTCACTCCCCAAGTGAGTGCAACGGCTGGTGCTGTGCTGATCCAGAGCCAGGAGCCAGGAGCTTCCCCAGGTCTCCCACGTGGATGCAGGGTCCCAAAGCTTTGGGCCATCCTCGACTGCTTTCCCAGGCCACAAGCAGGGAGCTGGATGGGAAGTGGAGCTGTTGGGATTAGAACTGGCGTCCATATGGAGCTGGATGGGAAGTGGAGCTGCCAGGATTAGAACTGGCGTCCATATGGGATCTTGGCACATTCAAGGCGAGGGCTTTAACCACTAGGCCACGCCGCCTGGCCCTTAAATCGTCATTTATACTGTCACCATAGTTCGATGCAAAGACTGTAGATGTCAATTTTTGCCTTTAAGGAAAAAACAGTGTTCTGCACCTGCTAGTTTTTCTATGATTTCAAGGTGAAGTTTGTTTCCTTACAGGCAGCCATTTGGCAGCTCTCCCGATGACTTGCTGTGCCCACACCCAGCAGCCGAGTCTCCCAGTGACGAGGGAGCCCTCCTGGACCAGCTCTACCTGGCGCTGCGCAATTTCGATGGCCTGGAGGAGATTGATCGTGCTTTGGGAATACCAGAGCTGGTCAGCCAGGTATGTGCACAGGGACCACTGGTGGAGCCAGACACTGAGGTGACAGGCAGGTGATCTGCAGGGTGATTTGTGGGATATTTTACCTACTGACAAGTTGGCCTGGATCCATGGTACCCTCCTACTTCTTGTTGCTGTCACTTGGACTTTTGCCCAAGAGTCCGTAACTCAAGCCCAGGTGGTCTAGTGTCTGTCCTTGGTGCCAAGGAGGGTCATTTTGGGAGTACAGATAGAAACTGCCAGGACCGTGGCTGCACGCGGCCAGGAGAGCATCCAGTTCTGTGATCTCACTCACAGCCCCACCTAGGGGCAAGTTGGCAGGCACTGTGTTGTGTGCGCAGAAGTGAGGGGAATCACATGAGAGGGAGCTCATTACCACTCTGGCCCTTGTGTGCTTTTAGCGCACCATGCATTTAGGATGTGTAAGTATACATGGGAGTGGAAGTTAGCCAATCTCAGTGAGCTTACTTAGCTCTCTACCTCCTCATGATGACATGGCTACTTTGTAAAAATTAATTTTATTATTATTAGTAGTATCATTTTATGATACAGTTCCATAGGCTCCTGGGGTGGCTACTTTATAATTCTTGGAACAAGCATTTGGCTGAACACTTGAGACACCTAGGTCCCACATGTGAGTACTTGGGCTTGACAGCCAGCTCTGACCCACTCCCAACTCTAGCTTCGTGATAATGCAGACCCCGGGAGCCATGGGTGGAGTTCTGGCTCCCAGCTTCAAGGCCACTGCAGGGATTATAAAAATAAGCCGTGAATAAAAGTCCTCTTTCTGTCCTTTTGTCTTCTCTTTGTCCCTCAAATAAATAAGCAGAAAGATGAATTCTCTGCCTTGAGGATTCTTGGTAGCAGTGCCATGTAAACAGCCTACCATCATCTGCTGCATTAAATCGCACCATCTGAATCTGGCTGGCCACACACTAAATTTGTAGACAGCAGTGTCCTGCTTTACTGTCTGAAGAATAACCTAGAAAACCCATCACGCTTGTTACTATCTTCCTCTTTACTCAGCATGAATCATCTTTATTTCTTATTGCCAAGAAGTACTTTCCAGGGCGCTGACTGCTTCTTGGGCTTAGGATGCGTCACCATGTCGATAAGAAAGGTGCCGCCTTATTGGAGATTTCTCCAAAGCGTTAGAAATAGTCTACTCGCAATTCCCACAGCAGACATAAGTGGGAGGTTAGACTTGTCGATTCATATTGAGAACAGCAGAGTGGAAAGAAATGACTTGAGGTTACATGGTATAATCTGAAATAAATCAAGAAAGGAACATGGAGTTTATGTATTTCCTGTGTGGCTAGTTTGCTTTGCCTTTGGTGGTAGTTAGAATTTAGCATTCAGTAATCTGATCTTCAGATTTGTCTAAGTGACCTTTAAAAATAAATCTAGTCCTGGTAGCTACTGAGTACTTAGAGCATCAGTGTTTATCAGAATCAGTGTCATGCCATCATTTAATATTTTCTTCCTTTGTGAAGTTTATTTGTATTGTTTCCATGCTGTCCCATCATGTCGTTGATAAACATGGTCACGTTAGACTGAACTCTAGAAATGTGGCTATTAGAGTCGGGGAGACATTGAGTGCCTGATCTTTATCCTCTTCAGAATTGTGCATCCTCATTCAAATGGAAACTACTTTGTTAGATTTTCTGTTTGAAATGGACAAATGTTCAAAGCTCTACCAAAATTGCTACAGTGAATGATGTCCTTTTATGAGGCTCCATCCACACACTCTGAGCTGGTACAAGGAAGCAGCAAGCCCTTAGACTGCCTTCAGTGCTGGGCCCTCGTGAGCCCATGCCTTGGGGTGCAGCAGGGGAGCTGGGCTCCTGGGCCGCCTGGGAAGACTGGAGGAAGGCCAAGAAAGTACTAGGCAAAGAAAACTTGATGGATTTTGTTGCTCTGGAATCTTTCCCTCCTATATAATGTCAGGTCTGTGGCATTTACTTCTAAATGTAGAAGGAAGAAGAGAATTAGCTGGGAAAACTTCTTGTACATGTACACATCTCCTGGGTCTCAGGTGCGCACCCTAGGGGAGGATCTGGGTTTTCTACACCTGCTCCACTCTGCCCTAATAGAGTAAGTCAAGAAATAACATGTATCCACTTGGTAATACCTGGATGTTGGCAAGAGGGAGGGCCTCTGGGAAGTGCTGACAGCCCCCAGAAAGCACTGAAAGGATGTCCTGCTGGTGAGGAGCGCAGGTCCTGAGTCGCACACTGAATTGGAGCCCAGCACAAACCAGTTCAGCAGCCTCCTGCAGCACCCTTCCTGTCTGCTAGTCTCAGTCTTGTCTGCAAAGTGGGGCTAGTTTCCTTGGTACCCCAGTGCTGCTGACCCAGCTAAGGTCCCTCCCTGTCTCATTAAAGTGATCTATACTGTCCTGAGTAATCCATCAGGAAAGTCTGCACCTTTAGGGGATATTTGGCTTGTAGAGTCCAGATTGGTCTCTAGGACACTTCCATAGTCATTGTCCACGTCTTTTCCTGCCTTGAGAAAAGTGTTGCTGGAAAAGTGGATTCAAGCTGTAATGGTGCCTTTGTGGCATAAGTACAGTGTAAAAAAACTTCAAGTGTTGAATGGAAGAAAACAGCCTTGCATTTTCTGTGCTGTTTCAGTAGCTTAATTCCTTCCTCTGTTTTTTGGAATTTTCTCTTCAGAGCCAAGCAGTTGATCCAGAGCAGTTCTCAAATCAGGATTCCAACATCATGATGGAGCAGAAGGCCCCTGTGTTCCCGCAGCAGTATGCATCTCAGGCACAAATGGCACAGGGCAGCTACACTCCCATGCAGGATCCAAACTTCCACACCATGGGACAGCGGCCTAGCTATGCCACGCTCCGTATGCAGCCCAGGCCAGGCCTCAGGCCCACAGGCCTTGTGCAGAACCAGCCAAACCAACTGAGACTTCAGCTTCAGCATCGCCTCCAAGCACAGCAGGTGCATTTCTCCCTGGGGCCTGGGAAGTGTCATGGAATCAGGATGTACAAAGAGGGTGCATAGAGACAGCATAGTAATCCAACAGCATGCAGACACCCCTCTGGGTGGAGGTGGAGTCTGTGGGACAGTTGCTTGGGAGAGGTACTTTGAAGTAAAATAGATTTGGTTTCCAAATTGTGTTGATTCCTTCCTGTATGTGTTTAGAATCGCCAGCCACTTATGAATCAAATCAGCAATGTCTCAAATGTGAACTTGACTCTGAGGCCTGGAGTTCCAACACAGGTAAGGGAGCAGACCAGCCATTAGCCTTCACTGTATCCATTAATTTATCTCTTGTCATTTTCTTCTTCCTTCAAAACCCAAATCAAATCATTAAGTTAGTAAGCCTTAAAATCTACACAGATGTACTGGTTGTGCTGTCACCCAGTCGCTTATCCAGTCTGTCACTTTTCAGCTGCCTTCTTCTACCACTATTTTCATCAGCAGCTGCAGCTGTTTCTTGTTAGTCATAGGAGTTCTGTAAAGTTGCTCCAAACACTACAAGTCAATTCTTGGCTACTCCTAGGAGGAACATAGAGGTAGGTTCCGTCAAGACTGGCCACAGTTTCATCCTCCAACCCATACATGACTTTGCTTTCTGTGTGCTTCTGTTTACACCCATTTTATTTATCTGCTCTATGTATTTACAAAACATATATGCCAGTCATGTATTTGTATATGTATTCCTTATGTCCAAAGGAAGCTTATGCATCCACATACACTTCCCCTTTAGGCCCAGCAACCGCCAACAGAAAGCTCAGTGGTATGAGAACTGGGCACTCCACAGGACACAGAGAGGCCCCTGGCTGATAGGGAACTAAAACAAGAAGGCAGAGCAACCTCCCCTCCTCTCAGCCTCAGCTGGACAGGTGCACTTTGGGCATCTGAAATGCTTCACCCCAAGTGTTGAGGTGGAGGTTACAAAAAAAGTAGTGAACAGGCAACTTCACAAATGTAGGATTCACAAAGCAGTGAGGCTCCACTATGTCTGCTGAGGACCCACAAATGGCCTGCTGCTTCGTAGGAAGGCAAGCATGACCGTCAGCCCTGCACCATTTCTCTCACCTCCTCTCCTCGCCTCCCTTCCAAACTGCATGCTCCCATCACACTCTCCCTGCACTCCCCACCCCTTTCTCCCTTCTGTTCTGCCTTTTCCAGAGTGTTCCACATCACCAGCTGACACAGTGGACGGGTTACTTGTTAGACTGAAATGTCTCTTGAATGAGACTGTGAGCTGCAATCTTAGGGTTTAAATCACAGAGTCTTCTGAGGAAAAGGATTGTGTTGTTAGATGTGCTGAAGTTCCTGTGTCCTCAGAAATAATATCCCCGTTGAACTAAACCCCTTTGAATCATAGCACAGTTTTGGGATGATCACCATATCTCAAGAGTTTAGAAGCTCGCATTTCAAATCCCAGCCATTTCACTCTTAAGTTGTTCTTAACATGTAATTTTATTTTCAAAATAATTTTACATGGAAGGTATCTTTCACTCACCTGTCTGAAATGCTTGCTTTGGTTTTAATCTCTATCTCCCCTTGGTGTTTCCTTTGTCTTTGCCCCTGACTCCAGGCACCTATTAACGCACAGATGCTGGCCCAGAGACAGAGGGAGATCCTGAACCAGCATCTTCGACAGAGACAAATGCATCAGCAACAGCAAGTTCAGCAGCGAACGCTGATGATGAGAGGACAAGGGTTGAACATGACACCCAACATGGTGGCTCCTAGTGGTCTACCAGCAACCATGAGCAACCCCAGAATTCCCCAGGCTAATGCTCAGCAGTTTCCATTTCCTCCAAACTACGGTACTGGACTTGTGGCCCCACCTCTCCCCAGTCCCACATCACAGCTCCTCTGTTGCAGCTGTTAGCATGACTCCTGGATGAATCTGGCTCACAGGGGGATGATAGGAAGCCCCGGAGGACAGTTGGGGCCAGGCAGGTGTCCTCAGGTCCAGCATAGTAACTCCCATGGGTCCCAACTTGGACACCACCTTTTTTCTCAGTGACCAAAATGTGTCTGTGTAGACTATGTATGTCTCTTAGTGGATGTGAGTGTATATGAATATATCTGTTTATATCAGTGTGGACACAGGTGTATGTGTAAGTGATTATGTTTCAAAGCCTTAGGATGAATTCAAATCATTAGATTTGAGTGGATGGCACCGTAGCATTGAGCCTATGCCTGTGGTGCCAGTATCCCATATTGTTACCAGTTCGAGCCCTGGCCGTTGTACTTCTGACCCAGCTCCCTGCTTGTGTGCCTGGGAAAACGCAGAGGATGGTCCAAGTACATGGGCCCCTGCACCCAAATGGGAAACCCAGAAAAAGCTCCTGCCTTCAGACCGGCGCAGCACTAGCTATTGCAACCACTTGGAGAGTGAACCAGTGAATAGATCTCTGTCTCTCGTTCTCTCTGTGTAATTCTGCCTTTCAACTAAAAATAAATACATCTTTAAAAAACAACAAAAAAAAATGGAGAAACAAAATGAGTCTGAAATTTTCCTGCCTGTTATTAACTCTCCACAAAGAGCCAGGCAAGAGCCGGGAACTCCAACCTACTCTCCCACTTGGGGAGCAGGGACCCAGTACTTGGGCCGTCTTCTGCTGCCTTCCCAGGTAACATAGCAAGAAGCTGGATCAGAAGCAAAGTAGCTGGGCCTCCAACTGACACTGCCTTCAGTGGTAGGTTAAGCTGCTGCAGCCGCAAGGCTGTCCCCTGACCCTGTTTTTCTTATTCTTGTTAACATGGCTAGCACTGAACTACTTCAGGCGCCTTATAAAGACTGAACAAGCTGATCATGAATATAGTTTTGGGTTTTTTTTTTTTCCCTAAGTCTATTAATCTCCATCATATAATGACTTAATTCAAGGAAAAATTATTCAGATATTCTGACTTCTGATGTATTTACTGATTGGTAAAGTTTAATCCAACATAAGCAGTTTGATTATAATAATGTATATATAAGAAGTTTAATATTGTGACCATTTTAGGTCAGAGAGAATCCCATATGGCTGGCCCACTGTCAGTTTGGACAGGCATCTGAGGAAAGAGGAATTCCTTTCTCTGGCCTGCCTATGCCGGTTCCCTGCAGCCCCGTAAGGGATTTTGCATTTTGGCCCCAGCATGGACTCCTTTTTAGTGCATCTAACTGACCAGCACGTGATGTTGTATTTGAAAGTAATTCTCTGCACACACTCCACTCAGAATGTTCTCTTTGTTTCCCCCCAGCCTCTGTGATAAAACTGATAACATCCTCTTTTGAATTTCTGTTATGTTTTTTTTCAGGAATAAGTCAGCAACCTGATGCAGGCTTTGCTGGGGCCACGGCCCCCCAGAGTCCACTGATGTCACCCCGCATGGCGCACACCCAGAGCCCCATGCTGCAGCAGTCTCAGGCCAACCCGGCTTACCAGGCCCCCTCCGATATGAATGGGTGGGCGCAGGGCAGCATGGGCGGAAACAGGTAATTCTGGCCCCCCACCTTGTTGCTCTCAGGGGTCAGTGGGAAGGCGCTTTGCGGGCTGCCCGTCTCTGCGGTGGGCTTGTTAAGCAGGATCCAGTAAGCTGCCAAGTGAGCATGCGTATCGTTTCTAAGACAAAAGTCACAAGAATTTACAAAAGGTTATCCAAACACTTCTCTTTTGGAGCAAAAGGACATCTGTGAGATGGTACCCACCCAACCATTTGTGATAGAAAGTCCCTGTGATGCGGACATGGGAGCAGCTGTCATGGTGGGGTCGCGAAAGGAAGCAGGGCTTGGTCCCCCTCACTCCGCTGCTGTCTCAGCAAGCCGTTTCTGGCCTTTCCAACCCCACTGCCTGCCAGCTGCCCCCACTGGTTTTGCACAGCTGAGATGTGTTCTCCCTGCCTACACTAACGGCCCAAGAAAAGCACACTCTGGCCCACCTGTGTGTTCGCTGTCGGGCTCTAACGTTTGCCTTCCTTTGTGTTCTGTCCAGCATGTTTTCACAACAGTCCCCACCACATTTTGGGCAACAGGCAAACACCAGCATTTACAATAACAATATGAACATCAGTGTATCCATGGCGACCAACACAGGCGGCATGAACAACATGAACCAGATGACAGGACAGATCAGCATGACCTCCGTGACCTCCGTGCCTACGTCGGGGCTGTCCTCCCTGGGTCCCGAGCAGGTGAGTCTCCGGGCACACACAGCCTACCGTCTTCAGAGCTAGCTCTTGCTCTCTTCCTGCACTGGGGAACCATGCCTGTACCTGGAAACTTGACATTTGCCACCAGCTCCTACATGTATTTTAAAAAGTGTTTCCAACCTATTTTTCAACTGCATTTGCAAAATAAACAGAAACATGAAAGGATTTCTGGCTTCTCAGCCATCTTTAAAAGTACTTAACTTTATTCGTGTACATTTTCCTCTTCTTTGGAGCACTTAGCAATATTAAAAATGAATGTCTAAATTAGGGTGATAAATATGCTTTTGAAATCATTTTATTGGGAGTTTATAATTGAAGAAGTGCAGGTGTTTTTCTGAATGGGACACCAACTACAAGGGACACGCTAGCTGCAATGACGGGGACAACCTTCGGCCCATCCCGGCTCATCTTTGTGCTGTGGATACCTTGGGCTTTTCTATTTCTTTCTATCAGCTTTTTAGTATTCTTTTTGTTGAATAGCACTACAAAGATTCTGTTGTCCGTAATTACATACCACCATCTCTAGAAGGCAGGAAGATTCAAAGGTTTTGAGATAAGTAGCTAGCCATGAACTTAGAAATTTTGAAATGTGGTGGGCACAGCAGGTAAAGCTGCCACTCGCAATACCCACCCCCCATATATTCTGCCTGGGATTGAATCCACCTTCACTTTCTGATCCAGCTTCCTGCTACTGTGTCCCAGAAGCAGGTACTTGGGTCCCTGCCACCCATATGGGACACCCACATGGAGTTTTGACTTCTGGCTTGGACCTGGCCAAGCCACAGCTATTACAGGCATTTCTAAATGATTGTGAGATAAAAGGTTGGGTTAATAAGTTTAATGTGTTATTCACAGGTCTTTATTCTAAAAGGCCCAAAAAGCTGACCACTCTTTATAGGGTCTTTTTCACTTTTTTCTTTCCAAGATTTATTTTGTTTTCTTTGAAAGGCAGAGTTACACAGAGAGAGAAGTATCTTCTGACTGACTACTGGTTCGCTCCCAACATGAGTACAATGGCCAGAGCTGGGCTAAGCTGAAGCCAGGAGCCTAGAACTAGGTGGCAGGGAGTCTAGTTCTTTAGCAATCGTCCACTGCTTTTCCTGACATATTAGCAGGGAGCTGGATCAGAAGTGGAGCATATGGGACTTAAACCATGCCCACATATATATACATATGTGGATGCTGGTACTGCAAGTTGCAACTTTATTAGCTACGCTATAACGTCAGCCCCCAATACTGATCACTCTGCTTCTGAACTGTACTTATGGAGAAACTGAGACACACAAAGTGTCTATGACTTAAGCAATAAACTGTTGTCAATACTGCGAATTTCAGTTAAAGCTTGTTTGTAAGAATGGTGAAAGATTAAAAACCTTGAGTATATTTAATTCTGAAACAAACAAAAAACCCTACGGGGCTTGTGAAAATTTACTAAATATGCCTTTGTATTTCCTGCTATAAAGTGATGATTAGTAAAGTTGTAGCGGCCCAGGAGGAAGGAAGGCCGCATGCTGGTATTATAGCTTAGACTTCTCCTGCTGAGTTTGGTAATTAAACACTTACTTGAGTAAATTTAAGCAGGAAGAAGTACTGCCTTTTATTTTTTCATGGAGAAAATGTAGTATTCATGTTGAATTTCTTGCTGCACAAGGCCACTGGCGATTCCCGATTTGCTTTCTCGGGGAATGCGTGCCACAGAGCCGCCCCAGGGAGTGCCCGGCTTTGCTGAGTTCCAGTCCAACCTACTCAGAAATTGGTTGCTGCATTTTGAATAATTCAGCCTGTTGGAGACAACAACATGGATTTGAGCCTTTTGAATAGCTGTTAATGTAAAAACCCAAAAATTACAATAAGAGTCTGTCTTCTCTATTAACGTTTGTGCATTTGCTTTGTAACTTGTAAAAGAAATGTGCAAATGCTTAGTCAGAGTAAGTTCCCAAGATCCAGTACTACTGTGGGTGTTCACACCTGTTCTTGTTCATTACTAACGCCCCTAAGTCACAGGGATGTCAGGAACCTCGCAGATGACTCGGATGACTTTTGAGTCAGAGATGGGAGTCACTGATTTCACTTGAACCTTCCCCAAAAAGCAACAGGGTTCTGGCATGAAAGTATTTTCTTTCGGTTTTTTTTAAGATTTGTTTATTTTTGCTGGAAAGTCAAATTTACAGAGAGAAGGACAGACACAGAGAGAGATCTTCCATCCACTGGTTTACTCCCCAAGCAGCCACAATGGCAAGAACTGACCCAATCAGGAACCAGGAGCTTCTTCTGGGTCTCCGGTGTGGCTGCAGGGTCCCAAGGCTTTGGGCCATCCTCCACTGCTTTCCCAGGCCACAAGTAAGAATTGGATGGTAAGTGGCCCAGCCATGACACGAACCAGTGCCCATATGGGAACCCGGCAGATGCAAGCAGAGGGCTTTAGCCACTAGGCTACACTGCCGGGCCATGAAAATATTTTCTAAAATAAATAATAACTAATAGGGCCCGGCATGGTAACCTAGCAGCATGTGCCAGGATCCCAGATGGGCCCCGTTTCCCATCCGGCTCCTTGCTTGTGTTTTGGGAAAGCAGGTGAGGATGGCCCAAAGCCTTGGGACTCTGCACCCATGTAGGAGACCCAGAAGAGGCTCTGGGCTCCTGACTTTAGATCGGCTCAGCTCCAGTCATTGCAACCACTTGGAGACTGAATCAACGGACAGAACATCTTCCTCTCTGTGTCTCCTCTTTGTTTATCTGCCTTTCCAATAAATAAATCTTTTAAAATTAATAAACAAAAGTTTATAAAAATATTTTATTGTCTGATGAAATTTAATTTTTGTATGACTAGCACAAGTATTTATTGTCCTGTTTTTCTATACTCCCAAATATTTCATGGGATGACAGGCAACAGTGAAGGGCATTTTCTGTAGTTCCCTTTCCCTATAGCTGCACTCCCAAACAGCAGGTTTGGGGTTCTGTACACTTTCCGGGTTCCTGCAGCTTATAACCACACTGCATTGCCATCCCCAGGTCAACGATCCTGCTCTGAGGGGAGGCAACCTTTTCCCAAACCAGCTGCCTGGAATGGAGATGATAAAGCAGGAAGGCGATGCATCACGGGTAAGGACCAGCACCGGTGTGTGCATATGGCGCTGAGTACACAATGAACATTCTCAAAGCTGACACAGCTACATTGCTAGCAGATGCACAGAACTCCTTAAAAAATCTCCTAATTTTGGGTCTGTGGACAGGGCATCTCATGACTGGATCCCAGACGCCAGCCACCATGTGCACGTGGTGAGCTGTCCCCGGGCCTACCTGGGCTCCAGAGGCTGCTCCATTCTTGGATGTGAATCAGTCCTAAATCCTAAAAATTCCCAATGACAGTAACTCTTCCTTTGAAGAACTTGTGATCACTGAACAATGCTAACCACCGAACACCAGTCAATGCAAAAGCTAAGGCTCGGGGCTTGTCCAGCAGGATATCCTATTACCTGACACGATGATGGATCAGCAGATGGATCACATTAGGCAGGACCATGACATTACTAGCACTCAAGAACCATATCTGGGGGTAAATTCTGTGGGGGATGTGTGGGCCACACCCTGTGGAAATTCTAGCCCCACTGGTTAGCTTAAGAGTTGGGGTGGTGATCAACTAAGCTATGTGTGACCAAGGAGCTTGCCATCAATCAGGTAAAGGAACCCACAACAATCTGGACTGGTCAAGGGCAGCAGCACCTGAACGTGCATCCTGATTAGGGTGTGGAGTGGGCTGGGCTGCAACATTCACCAGCTCATACAAGTCCAAATGGAAGCCAGACTGTACCGGGCGCTGGCCTAAAACTAATGGCATGTATGAGAACTGGGTCTCGGAGGGGATCAAATGGAGGAACTTGGGAAACTCCCCTGATGGGTCATAGCTCCCGCTGGTGAACCTCGGGGTCGGACAAGCTGGGCAGAGTAGCTCCAATAACTAGCTAATGTGTGAATTGGTAATGGAGCAAGATGTACTGGGCAGGGCTGAGCAAAGCTTAGCCTACAAGCAAAACTAGAAACCAGGATGGAGCACAGGTCATGCCAAGCCAGGCTCTTACACCTACTGGTCTGCGTGACTAAGCCACAGTGTCTAAGTCAGAGGCCAGGACAGGTGATGGGCTGTGCCAACCTGAGTCAGAGCAACCACTGGCATGAGCATGATCTATGGCTGGGAACAGGCCCAGTTGGGGAGCTAAGGGGACACCCTAACTGGGTTGAGGTTCCCACCAAGGGGTGCGTGGGCTGGAATGGGCGCTGCGTTCTGATCAGGAAACGGTTATAGTCTCCCTTGGCACAAGTGTGGACTGGAACTGTACGCACCAAGCTGGGCCAGACTCCAACACTGTCTGGTGTCCTGGAGGACCAGGGTAGATGTAGGACAGACTAGGCTAGGTCTCAACCTCTACTTAGCCATGTGTGAGCCGTATGTGGGTATGGATGAGCCGTGGCTGCGCTGAAAGATCCAACAGCAGGAACCAGATTGGGTTGAAGGCCAGTCAGGAAAAGCCACTGTTCCTGCTAGGACAGGAGGTAATCTGAATAGGGCTAACTCATGGACCCCCTGGTATGCGCAAAATCTGGCATTGGGAAGGGTTCTGATGGAGGAGCCTGGGCAGCTCCTCTGGCAAGACACAGACCCTGCAGGTAAGCACAAGAAGCAGGATAGGAAACAGCCCAGAATAGGCCATGGAAGGTTTCCCACTCACATACATCTGGCATGCATCAGGGGAAGACCAGGCTGAATCAGTTCACGTCATCCACTGGCAAATCCGAGCACTAGAACAGTGTGGGTCTAGCCAGGTTCGGTCACGACAAAAACCAGAGCACATTACAGAATGCCAAGGTGAAGTTGCCTGTACCGGATGTGACCACAGCACCCAACCAGCACACGTGAGAACCAGGAAGGGAGGGGGCAGAGCCGGCAGGGGGAATAAGGAGCAAGTTCCTTTGCTGGACAGCTACTCCCACCAGAGAACATGAGCTGGGATGGGGGCAGACCAGACGAAGCAGGGCTACAACGCCTGTGCGCCTCATGTGGACTAGATCAGGGAAAAACTAGGCTGGGCTGATTATTCCTACTGGTGCAAACAACATTAAAGTGGTCAGGGTTGTTTGGGCTTAGCCACAGCATCAACTGGCAGAAGCAGGCACCTGGGGTCTAATTCTGTCAAGTCAAACCACAGAACCACCTGGAGAGTGCATAATTTGGGAGTTAGAGAGACTTAGGAGGTAAATAGTGGGCTCCTCCCTCTTGGGTTACCACTCCCACAGGAGGGCATGAAAACTAGGACAGGGGCTGGGGTGTCTAGACAGAGAGGCACTCAACAACATCCATGAGGGCTGGATAGTTGGGCTGGTTGGATGGAATTAAGCTTCAATACCCATCAACATGTATGAGAGCCAAATGGGATGTGGGATAGACTGGACTAGTCTGCTACACATACTGGCAAACAAGGGTAGGGGGCAGGCCTGGTGGGGGTTATTGTGGGTTACTCTGAGTAGGCTGCAGCTCCCACTGGTTTATGTGCTGGGCAGAACCAGGCTGGACTGCAACACCCATGGGTTCCAGTGGAAGTCAGGGCTGAAAACAGAACCAACCCAGCAATTGCAACCACCAGTTGATCGTTGTGATAGACTGTGCCGGGCCCTGTGCTTTCTAGTACATACAAGAATCTGGTCTGGGAACACCTCGGACAAAGTTTCTTTGGGATCTCCGCAATTGAGCTTCCAGACTCAGAACCCTAACCAAGAAAAGACAGAAGACAGAAGACAGAATAAGTCAATCAACTACCTCAACTATATGTTGGCAACGAAATACTGAGCAAATGGAGACTGTATGATGTACTGTGTCAATCAGTGGATTCTTCAATGACTTCATCATGCTTGGAGTGGCGAGTTTGGCAGCGATTCATAACTATCAAAGCCACTTGAGCAAGTATCTCAGAGCATGCCCAACATCCGGGACCTGGGGTGGGTGGGAAACTGGGTGGGGCTTTTCCCTCAGTATCCCGGTTTACCTCAGATGGAAATAAAAGTCTTACCCACTTTCCTGTAGCCCTTGAACTTTTTTACCCTAATTAACTATGTAAAGATTGTCAAAAGTATAATAAAAATTGAAACTGGAAAAAAAAAAACTCCTACTTTTGTGTGAGTAAGTATGCCTTTAAGGTCTTTAATTAAGCTGATGGTGGCATATGAATTAGGAACTCCTAGTTTTGCCCTAGAATAGCAAAGTAGCAAAGAATTGGTCATCTTAGAGCAAATTTGGTTTTGGTTTTGTTTTCTTTTTTGGAGAGTGGCCATAATAAGGTAAGATTGAACTTGTAATTTCTGTCTGTCTGATTTAGGTCTTTTAAAGTAGCAGTTTGCTTTATGGTACTTTAAAACTTTTTAAAGTGGCATTAAGGGCCCAACACATTAGCCTAGTGGCTAAAGTCCAGACCTTGCAACTGTCAGGATCCCCTGTGTGTGCCAGTTCATGTCCCAGCTGCTCCACTTCCTGTCCAGCTCCCTGCTTGTGGCCTAGGAAAGCTTTCGAGGACAGCCCAAAGCCTTGGGACCTGTACCTGCATGGGAGACCCAGAAGAATCTCCTGGCTTCGAATGAGTTTAGTTCTGGCCATTGTGGTCACTTCAAGAGTGAACCAGCAGATAAAAATCTTTGTATCTCCCTCTTTCCATTAAAAAAAAATATATCTGTCTTTTTTTTAAGTGGCACTAAAACATAATTACATTTGGTACCAAAAAATTGAAACCGGTGCATAGCTTTTTTCATAATATTAATTTTCCCTGAACTTTTTAAAGACCCCCTTTTGAATGGATTTTAGGGTTTTGGATGGGCACCAAAATTGATTTATTCTTTAATTTTATGTTCCATTAACTTTTTGAAGCTCCTGTGTATTTCATTGTGTTTAGACAACAGTGCTTTAAGATGTATTGCTCATTTGCAAGACAGAAAAACAGTAAGAGGAGGAATCAGAGACAGGGCGTAAGATCTCCCATTCACTAGTTCAACTCCCCAAGTGGTCACAGCAGCCCAAGTGCGGGCCAGGCCCTAGCCTGGAACCTGGACATCCAGGTCTCCTGTGTGAGTCTAGGGACCCAAACACCTGGTCTTCTGCTTTCCTAGGCCATTAGCATTGAGCTGGATCAGAAGTGGAACAGCCACGATCCAAATAGGCGCTGCTATGGGAAGCCTGTGTTATAAGCAGGGACTTAATGTGCCATGCCACGACACCGGCCCTAAGGCAATGGGCTTGTGTGGGTCTTACTTAGACCTTAAATACTGGTTCTAGAGAGTGATGATACCACCAGGCTTGGTCAGATCTTGAAATCGTCAGGATTTAGTGCCCACCTGCAGTGTACTTAGCTGCATTATCTGTGATAGGAGGCACTCTGGGCACTTACAAAGGGTCTCTCCCACCCCAATAGGGAGTTGATGCTGAATTCACTATCAAAAACATGGGTCTGAATTCACTATCAAAAACACAGCGGCATGGCCTAATGGCTAACGTCCTCTCCTTGAACATGCCAGGATCACATGTGGGTGCTGGTTCTAATCCCGGCAGCTCCACTTCCCATCTAGCTCCCTGCTTGTGGCCTGGGAAAGCAATCAAGGACAGCCCAAAGCTTTGGGACCCTGCACCCGTGTGGGATACCGGGAAGAAGTTCCTGGATCCTGGCTTCGGATCCGCCTAGCATCGTCTGTTGCGCTCACTTGGGGAGTGAATCATCGGATGAAAGATCTTGCTCTCTGTCTCTCCTCCTCTCTGTATATCTGACTTTACAATAAATAAATAAATCTTTAAAAAAAAATGGGTCTGCTCTAGTTTTGTTAACATTAGCATTCAAGTTTAAAAAAGCAATTGTGTGCATTTGATGTAGATTTTAATAAGGTATTGTTTATTTTTTCCATGTGGTCTCTGGTTTTAAGAATTGTAGTCTTGGGCGATAGAGATGCTGGCTGTGGGTATTGTGTAATCTGTACAGTTTCAAGTATTGTAACACTCAGATACACACATACACAAACACTGTTTAAGGGCCTGGCACAGTGGCTCAATTGGCTAAAGTCCTCACCTTGCA